TACAATAAGTATATACCTGCCGCATATACGCGATGAGCCTAAAGCAAAATATTTAACATAGTTTATTGTGAGAAACTTAAGAAAGATATCAATGCTTAAAATGTAGGTACTGAATGGCAGTCGAATAATTGAAGTGTTTTTATAAAAATCTGCAAACTTGACGCTGACAACGACCGATCTATTTTTATTTACTCTTAGTACTAGGTACATAGTACATAATATAATATTTTATATTTGTTATATAATCTAAGCTCACTATCATTAAATTCTTCAGTGAATCAATTCTGCTGGTGTGCTGTGTTATAATATACTTATGTAGTTATGTGTATCGGTACCACGATTGCACGACATTTTTCAAACAGTGGGTATTAATTGAAATACTCTATATAAAAAATCTATAGGTATGCAGTTCTATATAATATAATATATTGTCAAACTAGACAATAACATAATACTCCCTGCACCACTCCGTCGACGGCTGATAAACCCATCAAATTGTCGTGAGAGTTATAATGCTGTATTATTGCAATGCAATATAATATTTGTGTAGACCTCGACGGATGTGTTACACACGTACGTAGTAACTACCTAGCTGTGTGATTTCAAATCATAAAGCCATTAGCTTTTTTTTCTCCGCACAGAAAGTCAGAACCTATAAAACTTATACATGGAAACTAAATAGATTTTCGCGTTGTATTACTTTTCCGTTATATTGTAACATACATAAAAGAGCATATAGGACACAATACAAATCTATAAAGTCTAATATATGTGTATCGCATAACGGAAGCGAATTATATGTATTTAGGTGTTACAATACCTACATAGTTGGTAGTACTAGGTACGCTATGTAGAATGTCTACACCTAGTGCAGAAGTATATAGCTGGCAAATCATATAGTTTATAGTTATGTCCGAAAGAGTGGAATAACGAAATTATTACAAAAATATTTAAAAAGTCAGACATTTTGACATTTTGACCGAATTATTCAATATTCTAAGTAATAGTTTGTGATTTAAAGTATATACTAATAGATACCCATTAATTCTGTAATAACTGTGTTTATACATCGAATCCGCGAGAACAAAACAATTTAATTTTTAAGTGCGTAATGCACAGGCTTACAAATAATGATTTGATCAAATTACAATTAAAGTGCGTAAGTATCAATATATTAAATAAGAATATAGCTGATGTCAATAAGGTGCTGTAATCACAAACTAAATAAAAATCTTCAACTGAAAAATGTAATGATCATAAAATGTTATGTTATGTATTTTAATACGAACTATTATCTCCTGGAGCAACAGATGTATACAGGCGGACAGACCACAGACAGTTATTAGGTACTTAAAGATATTTATTGCCGCTACCGAAACGAAAAACGTAATTGATGGATATATAATTTCGTCAAAATACCGTTCTGCAATAAATCCAAACCCCTCGATGAGAAGATTTGTGTACATATTATATAGAGTATAGACTAACGGATATCTTTAAACTCCTTATTAACTCTTACGGCATTTACGAAATGGATCGTACCTATTGGCTATTACCAGTACAAAACCACATGATATCAGAAGTATACTAACAAATTCGTAGCAGATATATCATCATAATTACCCCGATACTATCGACATGACGATATATGTACGAGATATTTAATACTTAATAATAACGGCCGGTAAATATTTTATTATGTCAAGTAGGTATAGAGAAAAATCTCTTCGATTCGCAAATATACGTATAGACGTCATATATAGGTAGGTACTCACAATGGAATAATATTATACACGCACAGTCCGTAGTCCGTACACTGCACACGATTGTCCGGCAGTTATTATATATAAGTAATAAGAATTATATATAAACAGAATGATTCAAGGGCGTCCTTTGGTGGGGTGACAAGGAGAGGGGCCCCCTTAGAATAAATAATAAAGTATGCAAGACCAATTATTTATGCTTTTAATTCATATTTAATACCATACTCGATACCATCATAGACTTTTGCTTAATGCGAAATCGGTGAACCAATCATTTTATGTTCGTCTATAGAGTAATAGGTTTTGCAATCTAGTTTCATTTTGCCTCTCTCTGAAAATTACCCTATGGGGTCCCATGTTATGTTCCCATGTACTCCATTTTATCATACGATAATGCATTTATTTAAATTGTTCTAATTTTGGCATTTTCAATTACCAATACTTAAGTAGCTAATTTTCAAATAGTTGAATTTTTTTATGCCATTTAAGAAGTGTATAGTGGTGGTACAAACTTCTATTTCCTAAATGAGAACCACAATTTTTCATTATAATATGTCAACTGAATAATTTGTTTGAAAACTTTTTAAATCGAAATTTGAATGAATAGTTTTTGACTTATTAAGCTATGTGTAATAAGGATAATAGTACACAATAGGTGTAGAATACGTGGAGGCCATGATGATTTGAAAATTATAACAATATTATTATAAATGCATTAAAATTGCGTAATTTGTGTAGATTATCCGAGTATAATGAGTATGCTAGACTAAATATTACATATAAGTTTAATATTTGATGTAAAATTACTATACTAAGGACTATCATTCTAAGTAAATAAAATGTAATTACCTACTCTAAACCACACGTTCAAATTTCAATTGGAAGCGTCAACATTTAAACAAAAATCATCAGGAGTAACAGTTATTAAAAAAAGAAGTTTCTTCGGGAATGAGAAATAATATGGTCTTTACTCTTCGCAAAAACCTAAATTCAAATAGATGCATCATTATATTATGTAGGATAAAAGTGGCCGGTGGGTGCCGGGTGGGCATGCTTGGCGAATCACCCCGTAATAGATAATAATAGTCCCGTGCTATACGATGTACGAGACCAGCGGAACTTGTGATTCGCATATAGGTATACGCCGCGCCGACAGACACGGAATAAAACAATACAATAATAAATTACTATAATAATAATAATGATATTGCGATTACGTCCTCGTCGTTGAGGATTTGGGTCAATGGGTCTCGGGCGCAATCGCCCGCCATGAATCATCGTCAAAATATCTGCCGCCGCCAGCTGGAGTCCGTGCGTGGTATACGAATGGCCGACTGTCGAACGTGGCTATATAAAGCCGGTATAAAAATGTGGGTTATCCCGGTGTATCTGTACACCCGATCTCCACCCAATCGCATGTGGGATACGCGCGTTCAAGTCTCCGGCGGCGGCGCGGTGATCCCGTTACGATCGGGCCCCACGACGATCACACACGTCTTGCGCACGCGGTGTGTCGCGTTTTTCATCGCGTTTTACAATCGTCGTACCTGTATCCTGGTGTATACGAATATTCGATTCATACGTAGCGGTCAAGGTTACACACAGTCGTTGTACAGCTGGTGTAAACTGTAAACGTTCGTTCCGAGATGACCAGCAGGTATAATAATATATGCGTTATGATGCGCACAATATTATACCGAAGTCCAAATATGTTTAAATTGCGTTCACGTGGATTTTTTTTTACATTTTATCACTCGGCGGCCGTGGGTAAAAAATAATATGTCATAGTCACTGCAGTCTGCAGCCGTCACTGGCATCAATGCAGTAATCGAAAATATATCGACATATTTTACAATGATGATATGATATGTATTTTATTATTGTAATGGATGTATAGATTGTAGAATATCAATTTGCCGATCGGAAATGGCAAATGAAAATAACGTACAGCTTGGACGTAATAATGCGTGTACACCGTTATGCGGTGATTTTTTTTTTTATTTCCCTCTTCCTCGACTTATTATAAACACATTAAACACACTCAGCTGTATTATAATATACCCCCGAAGACCTATTATGAATGTATTTGGTCCAGATATTATACACACACACACGCACACACATACAAATACGACATACACAGGCGCTTACGCTCACGTTTATACGGTATATACCCATTATATTATACACGCAGGAGTATTGCCGGAAGACCGCACTGCCGCGACTGATGGTTTCTAATTACACGATTAATTACAAAAGCGTCTTTGAAACTATACATTATAGCATAGTAGGTCAATCGGTGCTTTATTATCCAAATACAACATACATAATATACAAAGACATGGAAATTTACGTGATGCGACGTTTTGTTTTCTCAGCAATTTTTTATCCATTTCCCATATTATATTATATACCTATGTGCTGTATAATTATAAAATGATGTTACTATTTTCATATTATTCTGTATTTGCATATACGTTTATATATTTAACACATCTAAATATTATTAGCTGTTTAAAATTTAATATTTTTAAACGTTCGCATTTGTGTTACATCATATTGTCTATTACTGCAGCCTATAAAAGGGAACAGGTATCAAGAGATTTATTGCAAATTTAAGTTTTATTTTATAGGGTATTTATTTTTATACGTTTTACAATTTTATTGAGTTAAAAAATACAATAATGACGCCAATTCAGATAGGTAATATATTTGGATGAATTTACTTTTATACAACATTGTGTTAAAAATTAAAATGACTTCGAAATGAGAGTTATTGAAAAATATCTGTAATAATAGGCAGAACTTGAATATAATTTTCAGAACAGTAAACTGATTAAATATTAATTGGATTCCAAAACCAGATTATAATTTATATAGGTAGCTACCAATTTGTTGGTTTTATTTTTCTTCAAATTATGAAATAATTATTATAATGTATTAATTAATAACGTATAGATTCATGGAATTAAGAATTAATATTTTATATACCAGATATCAATGTATTTTTATTAAAATGTTTTAAATAAACAATAGTTTAAACAAAACAATACAATTTTGGTCTCAAGAAATAAAATAATTATTATTTATGGATTAGTTTACACTATTTATAAACATATTTCAAAGCTTATGTTTATGGTAACTTGTTCTGTTGTTGCGTGATCAATAACAAATGTTGAAGGGTTTTATAAATGTTTATTCGTATTTAATTATAATCAATCTATTTTATTTTTACAGTTATTGCGTATGGTTTTTGTTTTATCCTTGTGCAAGTATACGAGGGCTGAACTTTGTGGCGGCAATGGTGAATCGTTGAAATACTTGCGGGGCGATGCGCTCACCGATAATTTGGATTGCATCGGTCCCAATGGTAAACCTTATCCTGAGTGAGTACAAAATATGTTTACATAAAAAATCTGTACATATCAACAAAGTTAGAAAAATCGATAAAAAAAAAATTGACCCAGTTTTTGAGACTTAATTAGTTGGCATCGTTGAACAATTCAATTATTAGTATCATAAACTATTCCGTTTATTCGGTTATTCGGAAATTACCTTAATTTAAGAACCCGAAGTTCAATTAATTTTAAAGTTTGTTTACATATTCAAAAATGTGCAGGTCGATAGTAGCCGGCACTTATAGGCGCACCCACAACTGGGGATCATCAAGGACAGGGCGTGATGCTTTTCACGCAGACTCAAAACCCAGTCCCGAAACTGTACGAGAAACACTGCTCAAAACATATAAAATTAATAATCACAACGAAGATTACACTATCAGTAGAACTGGTAAGTGGTGTATTACATTTATAGTAAGTCTTTAGCTTTTAGTAAAATTTAAAACCTAACCAATGTATATTGTGAAGGTTTTTTATTTACTTTACGATTTATTTACAGTCGATTTTAAAGTGTTATGTTATAATTTTTTGTTTAATATCTTTAAAGTAATAAATAAAAAATCAATATAATATACTCATGTATTGGACAGTTTGAACATTTAGGTTAAATATGTAAGTATAATAAATAAAAAAACCTGATATGATTATTATACTTATTTCCAGGCGTTTAGCAAATATAATCTGATACTTGGTTTATATTTTTTATTTCTAATATACATTTTGACAAGATAATTGAAATTATTTTGTTCTGTTTATTGCTTCTCACATTGCACGACCACTGGTCACTGCGACCGTTCAATTAATGAGTAAAAAAAAAAAAATAGGTAAAAACTAAATCGGTATCATAAATAAATGTAATAACTCTCGAAACGAAATATAAGTCATATTATATATTGTATATAATACTTCCCTATAATATGTAAAACTTCAGATCATTTATATTTTTGAAGAATAAACGTTTTTCATATTATATTTCTACTTGAACTGCGCAACGAATCGAGTTTTATTGGGATATTTAACAAAATAAATAAGTACCTGTAAATGCAATAATGAAGTGTATATAATTTTATATCCTAAATAAAAATGGTTAAATAGATCTTATATTTCTGATATATATATCATATTATTATTGGGTTACCATTATAATAATATGTACCTATAATATTATTATTAAAATTAAATACTTTCAATGTTAAATTATGTTCAGTGTGTTTTACATTACTTACTACGATTATATTATAGAATAATCATTATTTATGCTCACTACTTCACATTTCAATGACAATAATAATGGAAGTTTTTATTTCATTAAAAATTATAAAAATGTTCAAGTAATTACCTACCTAAATAAATACCACATCTTACAATAAATCTTCTATTCTATTTTTTAAAAGTATTTCTTTGAACCAGTTTGCTGTTAAGCAATTTTATTTTAAATCGATTATTAAAAATTATTAATTCCAAGTACCTATATCACAAACAATAGGTATAACACGGGTGTAATGCCAATTATTGGAACAATACACATATACACATATTTTTAACATAATATTTTTGAAATTAATAAAATATAATATGGTTCAATGAAATATATTATCTATTAATTATATTAATACCATGAAATACGGATCACCATAAATTTCAATTAAGTATGTAGCTAACAGTTATATATTATTCCAAGTAAATACGATTTAGTTCAAATATACAACAAAAAAATATTTCAGATGAATTACGGTTCCGGGGAAACATAATATGATACTACTAGTGAAAAATAAAATACGATTCTATATCATATTTACATTTACATTTTCAATTTTCAACAAGGGGTTGTGTCAATTTTCACCTAAATTGACATAAAATGTGTTTATCACATAGTAAAAGTGCATCGATATAAGTGATGGGGGTTCAATAAAGTCTTAAAAGTTTTATTCTCCACAACTTAAATTCTACTGTGGCTACTGTAATATTATGATCTACAAAAGATGTATGTAATTGTAATACATTTTGAAAATATTCTCATTTTTTAGTAGGCGTACATGAATTAGCAGTAAATAAACACTCCAGGCCCATAAAATGAAATGATTATTATTATTTAATATAAGTATACAATACTAAAAAAATAAAAATGTCAAATTTACCATAAAAAACTTGTCTGAGAGTCAGAAATCATAGTTCTAATTGTGAAATACTTGTATTTCTTTTGCTTTTAACTTCAATATCAATAATAGTTTTTATTTTCCGAATGCATAAAAAGTTAAAAGACGGACGGAACAACCGCACGTGTTGTACCTCGAACAAACGAGTGGGAGGGAGACAAAGGGTCCTTAGCGGACAACTTTGAATATGAAAGAAAAACTTATAATTTTCAAAAATTTATAGCAAAAATTTTCTATTCTAGCCCACCCGGTTAAAGTTAAAGTTAGCCCCCCCCCCTCCTCTCTCCCCGTAAATCTACCACTTTATTTATTAACCATTATTTTTATGATTTTTCAGCTCGAGAATATGGATCAACACCAGCCAATCGTGAACTGTGTCAAACGCCGAACAGGCTGTGCCGTACCAGATACAATACGACTGCACCCATGTACGGTGTGTCGCTGACGTCTGGCCAACCTGTGACTATCGTTCAAAAATTCCCGGATCTATTACAACAAGTTGTTTACGAAGTTTGCGAGTAAGTACTATGGTCATAACTCATAAGTTATGAGTCATAACTATCTACTTATTATACATCCATCGTTCAGCCGTTGAACTCCACGTGTTCGCCTTATAATTATTGATGTATATATTAAATGTTTCCACTGCGTAGCTATGTACAAATATGTATATTATCGTACTGTATAAATAATATATAAACAACATGTTATAAATACGAACACGGTTTGTCAGATTACGTGAGAAATTGATTTTTGATTTGATTACAGATCAAATGAGTGTGACATGGTCAGAGGGGAGTGTACACAAACGTACGTACCATACTTGTTCCTGGTAATACCTTTGGGACCGGTGACGCTGACCGGCCAGGATTACGTTCTCGTGGAAAGTGGATGTGTATGCAAACCAAAGGGCTCCAGGTCCACCTCACACGAATTGGTATCTACTATTCCGGCAATGCCTCGTCCTTAGAGTGCGTTTATAGATACATATGACCGCTGCAGATGTTTAAACGTCATCGTATACCTACATAATATAGAAGAAAATACACCTCGCCGTTTATACTATATTTGTCTATATTTATATCATATCATATTATTGTCGTGTACAATATAGTCCATATTATTGTATATTATATTATATACAATACTAAAATGTCGTATTATATTACTATATATGGGTACTATTCAATAAGTTCATGAGAATCGTTTAAAAAAAACGAATGCCTCGTTAACTCCATGACGTAACACACCTCTACTTATAATATGTTTTTCGTCTCTATCTGATTATTGTTTAGGTACCCATATACACGTATACGCGTGTACTTTTACGTTTACGCGTGAATATGAGTAGGTACAGTAGCGTCACGCATTTTTTATTTTTATTATTGGGGCCAACATTGAAGTTATATCCACCCGCATCCATCCCTGAAAACTTAACACCAATATACATGACTAGGATTATGTAATAGAAAGTCTGCCCACTCACCTAAAAAAATATATGCAAGGGGCAACTCTGCAATATACCCCTCGGAAATAAGAATTCTCATGACGCAACTGTATATTGTACATATGTTTGGTATATTTTATTATTATAATGATGATATAAATTACATGATTTTTATTTATATAATATAATGCTCAACTTATGTATTGGCGCCAAAAATGTTTAATTTATTACGCGTATACAAAATAGATTTTGTGTAATACTGTGTTTGTCGTAGGTACTGTAAGTGATTATTTTACATTAACAGCTGGAAAGCGGTTTTTAATTTATTTATGTGATACTGTATTAACTCATTTAATGTGTAAAATAATAAGTTAGTTTAGTTAATAATATTAAGATAAATAATCTTAAATTTAAATTAATATTTTTTACCAAAGTATATCTTGTATTATAGAGAAAATATATTATTAACATTTCAACTGACCAAGAAATCAGATTCAATTACCTACATTATAATAATATGATTACATGATACACATTTTTTTTAAGAATTGTAAAACTCTAGTGGTAAAGTAGGTACCTTATAAAAATATAAAAGTAGTAGTATATTATATAACTGTACACTATTATAAAGGCAATAAATACTTAAAGAGATTGACAATTATACACAGTATACACTATACCTAGGCATATTTATAATGTAGATTGTAGGTACACGTACACGCTCAATAATCTGAAGAAATAGACATGGCCTACAATAATGTCTTACATGAGCATTTTATTGCATTTTATTGCATTTATATAATTTGTATATGTATATAAAAGTAGTTAATTCGATAGTAAATAAAAATGTACAGTAGGTGCTTTTTGTCATTTATTATTAATGAATTATATATAAGTATTTATATGTAAGCAGATAAAAAATAAAATTATGCTTGATAAAATTGTTTTTATTTTGTATAAATTATTTTGTTGCTAATAATGATCATATGGATTTTTTATAAACATCAACAATGTTTACAAATTATACAATTTTAGTATATTAATTTTGTTAATTGAAAATTATCAAAATCTTTAAACATCTTAAACTTATAATTTGCATTATACAGACTAATAATTATTATAATAAGAGTATCTATATTGATATAGAGCTACAAAGGAATACCATGAAACCTCATGACGTATGTAGTATTTCCGTTTTACAAAATAATTTAGATATAACATTGCAAATTCAATATTATATACCCTCATTAAATTTAAATTTGCATTGTTACTTTAATATTATTATATTAGGTATAATGAATAAGTAATTAGTCTTTCACTAAAAATACTATTTAAATTTATATTAATAAACTTAAAGGAAAGATTATTATTGAGGACGTCTCTTAAGTTTGTACCTATGTTATTGATATTTTCATTTTTAAGTGGGTTTAACTAATCTAGGCCTAGATACTAGTTTTACCTTTAAAAGTTTAAAGTTCAAAAATAATTTCACTATAATGCAACACAAAGCAGGTTCTGCTGAGTCCAAATTCGCTATGTTCTTAACACAGAAATTACTCGTTCAAGTATCTCGATTTAAGAATATCAATATACAAAAAAAATCATACGCTTAAGTATAATGTTATATAAATCGTTCAACATTTTTTTAAAATTTTTGTAGAGAAAACTTATGAGAAATCTTTTATATAGGTACTGTAGCAATGCAAAATATAAAAATAGGATGTGTGCGTAATATACAGGGTGTTTCTGAAGTGTGTGATGTAATTAGTATACGCATACTCACTGTGATGCCACAATGAAGATTTTTTGGAATTTTTTTTCTAACTTCAAAATCTGAGTTTTTTTAATTTATTTGTAGAATATTATCTTGAATGTAAAAATAAACACTCTAGTCGTATTTTTTGCAAAATTCTCTTACGAATCGAGATATCACATCATTTTTGCGCTTTGTCGCGCTCGAATCGCAAACCAAAAAAAAAAGTCGTGTGACACATCGATTTGTATGAGAATACTGCAAGATAACCAGTGGTGATAATTATTTGTTGTCATTGATAATACACGATTAATTAACACATTGATTTACATTGTAGACTAATAAAAAATATGAAATAATAACAAAATTAGGGTTAACAGAGTTTTAAACGATCAAATTTACTAGCATACATTTGTGTCATTTTGAAGTTAGAAAAAATATTCCAAACAAATCTTTATTGTGGCATCACAGTGAGTATGCTTATACTAATTACCTCACACACTTCAGAAACACTCTGTATAAGTATTTACCTTTCTTTTAATCATGTGTGATGTATTACCTATATATATATATTACGTGCACTCTCTAGTTTACTACCTTCTTGTATATGTATTATGTATATATATATATGTTCAGTGTACACACATATAAGTACATATATATATATATAAGAATTTGATTACCTATATAATAAATTAAATCACCCTAATTCAACTACAGTCTTGTCATATATTCTCTAAACGAAGGCAGAAGAAAGAGGTTTAATATTGATGTACCTACTTAAAATGTAATAACAATTAAGAACACAGTTAATACCTGTTTTATCAGAAATACTTGAAAGAATAGATTTATTATTTAAAGACACAAAATATATTATACTGATTACTGGATATATATTACTAAAGCTCATTACACAAGTGACATGACCAGAGCCCCTCGTACATATACTCCGGAGGAGTGATGTCCTGTAGATCGGGCTGATGGTCGATCGGAGGCGATAGAAGAGTTTATATTGATAAGGACTTAACAATATGAAACTACACTTGTCTATATTGTAATATAAACATGAGCCGAGTGGGTATGACTGTATAGTGTATATACAATGTGATATACATATATATAGGATTATGATGACGCTCTTGCAGTTAGTCATTAGTTAATGAGTGGCTATCATGACAGTACATTTTCAAATTTTAGGAACAAAAATTAATTTTATTTTAACTAAAAAATATAGTTTGTACATTTTCAATATTCTTGCCCTATATTTCGTTAAAATATGAAATTAAAATGATTATCCAAAAAACAGGAACCATTCTGCTGTACAGTATAGAGTGATCCATTTAAGAGCAGGGTACACTAATTATCTTGAAAAGTATTAACTTTTAGAAAAGCATAAACCTAAAAGTTAAAAAAAAAACATTTTTTAAAAAGTTAATATATTAATAAATATATAAAGTATACTTTTCGAGATAATTAGTGTACCCTTTTAAATGGATCACCCTGTATGCTGCGGGTAGGTCAAGACCTCGTCATTGAGTAAAACACTGTAATGTTGTGTTAAATTTGAATTCAATGATAAATCATTGAATATACGAACAACAATTCTGAACGAAGACGGTCTGTCAGCCTGAAGTAGATACTTCAAGTTTATTTTGAGATATATTTATATTGCTGCTAAAGTAATTTATTTTACTATTAGTAATTGTAATACTGTAGGTTGAATTAATTTTTGTCGTAAGCACTGAATACATAATAAAATAAGTATAATATGTTTTTAGATTTTTAAGTTTCAACAATAGAACTTATGAATAATGAAGAACCTACAGCTATGGTCTACGTTATAAATAACAATACCTGATAAATATGCTTCGGGTGTATCAACCTGATGTTTTGATAATATTATCTACACGGCTACACATATAATGCATTACCATTAGAATGTGTAATCGACTAAGACCTTATTTTTAGTAATCTTATCTTAATAGTATAATATACCATATGATAATAGTTAAAACTTTTTTCCCTGGCAGTATTCAATTTCAACATTTAGTTCTACGTTCAACGATTTACGAAGTGTTAAGACTACGTAGGTACGTGTTAAAATCACTAATTTGTATTTAATTTTTAACTAATTTGCTTTCAAATGGCAAAACGCAAAAAGACAAAATTTTAAGATGGATTTCTTTAGAAAAAAGCTTAAATTAAATTAAATGTATTGGCAAATAAAAAAGAAGACACACCAACATCCACCTCGAGCGTAAATTAATGACACACCACATACATCGAGTTAATTTCAAACTTGAACAGTGAAACATCTACCTCAAGCGTAAATATTTATGATTAGGGTGCAGATTTATATGTTTATACATATTTGTAATGAGTGATGGTAATCGAACAATTCTTCTATAGAAATACGTTTCTGAACCATCTGAATGCTTATGGTATGTAAGTATGTTTCAATATTTGATAATACATAATACATAATGCTTATGCTATAATGGTATGCTTAATAATACATATTTTTACATATTCAAGCTTACTTACATATTTTAACATCATTTACTTGTATTACATACCTTTGTTAAATATTACCCTATATTGAAAAAATCACCGTTGTCGAGATCCAAAATCTTGCCGTGATTTCAGCCTTGCGGAATTAAAAGCTTTCAAATTTGCAGAAATTTAAATTCTATACAAAATTGTAAAAATTAGAACAACACACATTGTTTGCTTACAACCCTTCCCTCCCCGAAAATCCGAAATTAATTTCCCCTGACAAAGTTGCACACAAGTCTAATTCTAAAATCAAAAAATCTAAAAAATATATAAACGCAGTTTTTTTTATAGTAATTTTATATTCAAATTTTGAAAAAATTACATATTATTAAATAACCAAGAATAATGATTTAAGTTATTTTGTTTCAATTTAAAATTATTATTGGGTACCTAATTAAAACTTTTATACTTTTTCTTATATTTTATACACCCACTGACTTTCAAATGTAATTTTTTTAGCAAAAATAAACTTAACCTATTGTAGTACTAATGCTGAATAATAAAATAAATTACATTAATCACAATTCACAATAACATCATAAAATACACTAAATTACTAAGTAATATTATATTCTGACAGACTGTCTTCGAATCGTTTTTCGCATACAATTATGTTATGTCATTGAATTAAAATTTAACACCGTCCATTACAGCGACCCACTTGTAACCTATTCTGTACGACAGAGTGACATCCACTTACCAGCTTTTTTTTATTTATTATTAATGGGTGGTTATTAGTAATATAACTTATTACTTCATAGTTCATACATTTTTAGCTATCTGTATAATGTATATCGTATATATATATGACAAATATATAAACTATTTACATTTTTGTTTATTTACAATTTCTAAATTTGTTGTTCCAAATATGTATGTTTTAAAAATTGTTAATTTTGTTGTCGTTTCAATTTGTGCGTAAGAATTTTAATCAGTTAATCAGGTTTTCTTTTTTTTTTTTTATATCTCATGTCAGTGACTATCGATTAGTTTAATATAAGATTAATAATAAACGCATATAATATATAGCCATAGAATTCCTGCAATTATTTTTAGGCTATCAAGTATTCGTGAGTTAGCTTTGTAAGGCCAATTCTTAATCCATTTATTACCATTTGTCCGTCTCATACAACAAGCTACAAACAAGGATTTGAATAACAAACAATAATTAAATATTGTAATCAAATGTATTTATCTGTATAATATTTTCACATTTTTGAAAACTAAGATATTTAATAAATAATTTCCTGTTTGAAAGTCTTTGTCCACTTTAATACTAATTTCACGTTAATAGATCAAAACTATAATTATTAGGACCATCTAAATTAAGCTAGAATTGTATCCATAAACTCATTGTAAACTTTATTTATAATTGTAAAAACATTATAAAAATACCAGGTGACACAATTATACTAATAAATTTAAAAAATAATAATAATTATGAACGATAATTTTGAAAAAAAAAAACAAAATTTATTCCGCCCGGACAGGGGCTCGAACCCTGGACCCTTAGGTTAAAAGCCTAATGCTCTACCGACTGAGCTATCCGGGCTTGTGATTGTGAATGGATATATCAGTAGATTTCAAGAAAATGTACGCTGTTGTACCTACCACGATTATAATTAATAATAATAATAATAATAATAGAATGGTTAACAATGTCAAATATTGTTATCTCAATAATTATTACTTTTGAAAAATTGATAAAACATTTTTGTAGCGCTCGTAAACCACCCGGTGGAATATTTCTGTACTATATTTAATGTTATATCGTAATCCCAATTCATAAAATCGAAAATATGTAGAGAACGCCCTCGATCAGCTTACGTTATAAGCAACATGACTAAATAAATTTGTTTTTATTCATGTTTAATAGCTGCTGTAAGTTCCTGCGAGTAATTTAAATTGTTATGTGATATATCTATGGATAATGATTAATGGATATAGGTACTATTGATTACCTAAGTAAACTTAGTAAATTAATGTTACCAAGGTGGATTTATAAATGTTGTTATAATTTTATAAATCCACCTTGAATGTTACTCTACTGTTTACTTAATCAATGGTATTAGGTATGGAACATTAGAGCCTTGATAATGTATTATTATCTAGGCTTTCTGGATATAGATACTTAACTGGAATTTTCTTTTTATAAAATGACGATATTTTTATGCTCAACGTATCGGTATAGTCATTAATCAGAATTTACTTGTCTTACTAACTTTTTTTTTATTGTTTTTACACCACCTAAAACTTAATTGTTGTTTTAACGTGGTTAATTAACAATAAAAAAAAAAGTAAATAGTATAAGTATATTCTGATTACACCAACACATTGAGCATAAGAATACCTTCTATATAATATTTATAATATCTTCTTAAAAAGAAAATTCGAAAAAATGTTAATTCTTAGTATTGTATAGTCTAAAACATGATGTTTCCAAAAACACTCTGAATAAATGGACATGGTAATGGCCCATTGATTAACAATTATTGTAATTAATATGAATAATATGATTATTAAATTACCTTTATTACAGTATAAATCTGACTTTCTTGAGTAGGTACTCAAAAATATCGAGATTAAAATCCAAAAATACAACTTTAAGTTCTGTAAGTATAAATGCAGTTTAGCTCACAAGCAATTTTTTTGAATTATTTTTAGTGTTTTTACATGCTTAATTTGGTTGCACTTTCAAAAAAAATGACTCGAACTTAATTTGTAAGTTTCGGTCGAAATTTTTTAAAATGGTCAATTTTTGGAAACATCGAGTTTTTGAGCTTAAAGCCTTAAAATACAAAGAATTATATTTTTTGGAATTTCCTTTTTATAAAAGATTGGTATTATCTACATTGTGGTCGGGTGTGTAGAATTTTTTCTTTTATGATTTATGAGATAAAATGATATCATTTCACGCGCCAATAGTATCGTGTTTTTTTTATAATTCCAACAGTGATATTTATTCTGTGGTGATACTGTGAATTTTGATGCCGTGATGGGTAATGTGATTCCTATTTGTTATAATATATATATAATATATTTTATATAATAATATCTAGTTGTTTTTGATAATTTTGATTATTTTTGTTCAACTGTTACTGTCTAGGTGCTTATACATTATTTTTAGTCACAATTACATGTGCTTATTTAAAAACCACAGATAACATACATAGGACTGGCACAGACTACGGTTTTATAAAATCTGTAGTACTGGGCTTTCAGCGCGGCAGTGCCCCTACGATTATGCAAGTAGCTGGTACTCAGTACCTCCGTACTTGCTAATGTTATCTGTGATGTACTTTTAAATTTATAATGTCTTCTTAGTATTGTATAAAAATGTTGGATCCCAATAATTTACCACATCATGTGTATCTACACAAAGACCATAAGTACAGATTGAAATTGGGCTTTTACGCAGCTCCCAGCAATCCAAAAGCGTTTTCAAAAGCTATTAGAGATGAACTTCACAATTTAAAGTTTACATACTGTTCTGAGTAAGTTAAAAGTTGATATTGTTCTTTGTTAAATATCTTATTTGTATTAATTTAATTTTGTTAATTTTGAATTATCATTTATTTTAATATTTTCAGTTTAAATGGACTGATTATGGGATTTGGTAAAATAAGTTCAAACGAACTTATTCCAGCTGATATCAGACATTGCATCAATGTAGTTGTCAATGTTGATGTATATATATTCAGACCTCCAGTTGGATCTATAATTGAAGGTAAGTCTTAAAAGTTTAGAGTTCAGACATATTTATCAATTGTGAATTAGTGAGATTGCTGGCTATTCTATATACCTAGGTACTAATATATTTGGGTGCAAAATGGTTGAAGTCCGTAGCCCCATTTTCTGATTCTTATTTAACTATCTAGATATCATCTTTCAGTTTTAAATTTAAAATTATATGTATCTTATACAGTAATAATATTCTGTTACTTGTTAGTTGCTAATAAGTTTACTTTAGTTATAATAATCCAATTAAAAAAGTATAACTTATACATGTTAACTATTCCTTAAAAGGTTTTCAATTTCTTTACAAATTAAAAATAATATTGTTATCATTAAATATAATTTTAGTATAGTACCTTGTAGCAAATTATGGATAGTTTTATTTCTCTTTTCTCTAATTATGCATTGTTGTATCAATATGTAGATACCTAATTTATTTTTCATATAAATAAGCCATAAGCCCATAAGTTTATATTACGATCTTTCATATTTTGTCCCCCCTTATTGATTTATTGACTTTAAAATCTACTCCCCAATTAGCGGTGGTGCGAGGGTTCACCACACTCTCCAAAAAGCCCTATTATTATATTTGGGGGGCCCTTTCAACTCTAGTTGAACTGTTTAAGATGTGAATTGTATATTATTTTGGTAAGTATAGTAAAATTGGTAAAAAATGTATTTATTTATCCTATAACAAATTGGTTTTATTAGTTCCTGAATTGGGATATGAGTATTCACTTTTTATCAATTAATTTTCTACAAATCTTTTGTTACACTACAGGAGTATATATATGGTGGCTTATATTTTCAATAAAAAGTATTACTTAAATCATATTAAATAACGGTGAATAATAAATAATTACTTATCATAGTCGATATGGTAGGCGGAAAAAAAGTCGAGAAAAAAAATTAAATAAAAATTTGAACATATGTACCTCTACTTTACTCTTAATTAGTAATTTATAATTTATAAACTATTATAGCCAATATAGGTAATTTTATATGTGGATACTCAATTGATAAGAAATATTTTTTATACCCATTTATTCAATGGAAAATTTCAAATATAAATAATTTTATGTCTGAATATGGTTTATGCTTAACTATTAATTATATATAAAAAACAACTAGTAATAGTAAAAAAAAATTAAATATAAATATGAACTCTTCTATACACAATACACAGTGTTATAAGTTATAAGTCAAAAAACATCAGGGGTATAAGTATAACACCTTAGGTATATGCATACTACATTTATACAGAAATTACACATAATAATGATTTATGACATTATTTTCTTTATAATATATTATATTTTGTTATAGGTAGACTCTTCTACACGGTAATTAGTGATAATGAAATAAAGTATAGATTCTAAATATTTAATTTCAAAATAAATATGGTATTTTATTTTGTTTAATGCCAAAAATATGTTTGAAATACAATTGTTCTTTTAAATACTTATATAGCCTTACTTTAAATGGTTAGTGACCATAAAGAATTTTGAATTGTAGAAGTTGTTTGATTTATATAATTTTATGATATGAATTTACCAGTCTATTTTTGTATTTATTCTTAAATATAGCTGATTTTATTTTTCAGCTGTAGTAAATCAAACTAGTGATAACCATGTCAGTTGCTTGGTGCACAATTTGTTCAACGTCTCAATAGTACGGCCTGAAAATGAACCGTGCGACCAGTGGTCAGGATCTAAAATTAAAAAGGATGATACGATTGATGTTAAAGTTTTATCATTTGATCTCACAAAAAAACTTCCTCATATTACAGGAGAAATAATTAAAAAGTAATTTCAAACTTAATTTGTTATATTATAATAAAAATGAATTATCCTATTTATTTATCTGTTTTGTTTTAAATTTCAGGAAGGATGAATGTTATGATCCTAAAGATATACAAAACACTTCTAAGAAATCTTTGTCCCCTAAAAAAAATGTAAGTGATTTTAATAAATCTTTTAATAAGAATACTGCCAGTCTTTCAACATTTTCATCAAGTGATTCTGAATCTTCACATGAAATGAACAATGTGTTAACTAAGTCTAAAATATGGTCTGATAAACCTACTAAATCACCATCATTGATGAATACCACTATTAAAGATGTACAAAAAGAAGACACTGCAGTTAGTTCTTCAAAATGTTCATCAAGTGATTCTGAATCTTCAGATGAAATGAACAATATGATAACTAAGTCTAAAATATTTGCTAATGTATCTACAAAAACATCACCATTGTCAATGAATACCTCTATGAAACATGCACAAATAGAGGAAATTGTAGTTAGTTCTTCGAAAGTGTCATCGAGTGATTCTGAATCTTCTGTTGAAATTAACAATATGATAACTAGCTCTAAAATATATGAAGATAAATCTACTACGAAACAACCTGTATCGACTAGTACCACCATTAAACGTCAGGATACTACTGATTGTTCAAAACTTTATAATGCTGATAATTCTTCAAAATTGTTATCATCTGACTCAGAATTTTCAGATTCTAATGATAAAGTTAAGTTAACTAATTTTGAAGAATGCGATAAAAAAAAATCTACTAGAACATCATCACATATTTGCAACAATATTAATCACATTGAAAGTCCATTATATAGTTCTACACCAATTTTAAATTCTGAGCATTCTGTAAATAGCATCAATTTAATCAGAAACAAGCAACTAGAAATATTACAAAAACATTTGGCTAAAAATAGTTCTTTAAAACAAAAATCATTTTCTGTTAAAGTACCTAATCAGTTTTCTAAAGATAGACTTTCTCAATCTCATAGCATTTTGAAAAATATTAAAAATAATGATAACAATGATAATCCACTTGAAGTATTTGCTGCTTCGGTCAGCGATGAAGATAATTTGGGCAATTCTAACAAAATAAATCAACATGGTAATCTTCAAGATGATGCTGATGTAAGTGACAGTGAACTTGAACATAAAGACATTTCAGTTAATAATTCATTTTCAAACAAATCTGTAAAATCTACAAAAAGAACTAAAAAGTATCGAAAATCAAATGAAATTGTAAATGCAATTTTAAACTCCATTAATTTAAATAAAATGAAATATAATGCTAATATTACCAAAAATTTCGTTGATTCTAATAATGAATGTAATAATGACGAAAAGGAAGAAAACACTCTTTATACTCAACATAAACATCATTTGGATGAAGAATTACTGATTAATCCCAAAAAATTAAAGGAACCAGTAATTAAAAATTCTTCAACATTAAATTTGAGTACTAAGAATAAAAAAAAAGAAGATACTTCCCAAAAGAAAAATATGGATGACAGTGAAAAGCAAATTAAAAATAAAATATTTAAAAAAAACTCAAATATTATATCATCAATGATATCCGATTCAGATAGTAATTGTAGTAAAGATTTAAAATCACCTGTACCTGATTTAAGTCGCACAACTGATTTTAATAAAGAAATTGACAGTGACACAAGTAGCTCTGATGATGAAATTTATTCAAAACTTAAACAAAATATATCAAAAACACAAATAAATACACATGATAATAATGAAAAACCTGAAAGTCAATCAGTTCTTTATAATCAAATATATTTTAGTACTGATGAAAGTGATACATCCTCTAAATTGTTTCATAATACATCTAAGTTATCTTCAAAGTTAATTAAATCAAATGTAACAAAACATGACTCTATTAATATATCAGAAACTGATGGCTGTAACAAAAGTCATGACAATAATTCAAAAAAAAAAGCATTAAAAAAAGATAACAAAAAAAAAGAAGTAAATAAAAAATCTGAGTATCCTCCACTGTCCAATAAAAGTGTTAACAAAATGGACATTATTAAGCATATTTTGGACGGAGATTCTAGTAGTGATGATGAAGTTACAGCTCTTAAAAACAAAAGTAGTGATGGGAAAAAAACAAATGAAAAAGTTTCTAGACAAAAATCAACTTTAAATATATCAAAACTAAATAAAAATGATGAGTTATTAAATAAAAACATTTCAAACCCATTTTTAAAAATATATACTGAAAATATAACAAGCTCAAGTTCTGATGATGAAACGTTTGTTAAAAATTTACTTAAATCAAAAAAAAAATCATCTGAGAAAAAAAAAATGAATCTATTAGTAAATGAAGAGGAGAAAAAGAATATTTTAATAAATCAAGTATTGACTTCTATAAAACGTAAGGATAAAAAACAAAAACAAATGTTACCTGTTTCACAGGATAACTCAAAAGCATCTGATGGTAAAAAAATAGTTTTTAAAAATGACAAAAGAACAAAAGATAAACTTATAGTTAAAACTAAAAATAAAAAGGATATTCAGAATAACTTAAACATTTCTATTGGAGAACCTGATGGGTCAAATTTAAATATTTCCAAAAAAGTTAACTCATCACAATTAATCAAACAACCATCATCCGACGAGAGCACTAATGAAGAAAAAGATGTTATAAAAAAAATTTTGAAAAAACAAAAACTTAAAAAAACTAAAAAAGCTAATTTACCAGAGGAATCCATGAAAATTAATATTCCAACAAAATCAGTCAAACAGAATGAAATCAAAGAAAAACTGCAAACAAAATCGAAATCCCAAAATGTATCAATGACAGATGAAGTAAATAGTATTGATATAAAAAAAAATAAGAAGAGACAAAGAGAAACTAAGGATTTCCTTTTAGATAGTATAATAAGTGCTTTAGAAAATTCTTCAAGTGATTATTCCCCTTCTAAAAAGAAAAAAAAAGATCATAATTTGACTATTGAAAAACTACATAGTTCTAAAGGTAAAAATGCTGATGGTTATTTATCTGAGGTTACGATAAAGAAAAAGAAAAAATCCAAACATAAAGACGATGTTAACTTAAGTGATTTAATTGTAAAAGATAAAAAGAAAAAACATAAAGATTCAATTTTTGAATCTTCACTAAAAAATATTCAAGCTAAAGTAGACAATCCATTAGAAAAAGTGTCAAAAAAAAAAAAAGTTAAAAGTGATCCCGTTTCTTTAGAAACTCAGAGCACGAATACCGACAAATCAAGTAAAATAATAGATAAACTAGAAGATAATAATGTAAAACTTCTTAATAATTCTAGATCAAGTAAGAAAAAGACTGACAAATCGAGTAAAATAATTGATAATCTAGAAGATAATAATGTAAAACATCTTAAAAATGCTAAATCAAATAAGAAAAAGACTAAAACCCTTTTGGAAAATCAAATGAAAAATTTTATGTTAACTCAAGATAATACACATTTGGATAAATTGTATGATTTACTAAACGCACATTTGATTCAATCTTAAGTTTTAACTATTTTTATGATTAATTAACTAACCTTATGTTTTATATACAAAGCAAAATATTTTATTCAGATTTAATTTTTAAACATTTAATAATTATTTATTGAAAATAAATTAAAAAGATGAAAAAAATATGTTTTTATTTGTCTTTATTTATTACTAGGTATATGATTTTTAATAAGTTAATTTTATGGTTATGAATTTATAACATAAAATAAAATAATAATATATTTTGTGTGTATTGCAGTTCATAGTCATATAAATCAAAACTGTTTTTACATATATAATTATATTATATGTTTTATTATTTATTGTCATGACTATGATAATAATAGTTGTACTATTAAAATATGTATTCTGATTAAAGAACTCATGAGCTTAAGCTTATTTGTGCAAATGTTTAAATACTTATATTGAATTATACTTCATTAATCATCACATTTTAATACAGATATGCACTCACTATAAATATATAACGTACAGACCTGGATAGGCCCAGCGAGCTACCAAGTTGAACTCAGAACAATAAAATATGAATAGTAATAGATAATAAATGTTACGTTTTATTGAAAAATGGGTTTTTAAACTTTTTTAGGGCCGGTTAAAATCCTAAAACTCGGTGGGCTAAACTTAACCTAACCTTTCCTATTTCATATTTGGCACTTATAATATAAATTAAAACATTATACACAATTGTAATTTATAATAGGTAAACCCATGTAAGCCCATGTAGTCAAGGGTGTTTTTTTCTTACAATAAAAAAAAATTATAGTTAAATTATATGTTGTTGTGACCTATAGTATAATTTTTACTAAAATGGATTTTAATTTAAGCAAAAACATTTGTATAGATTAATAAAACTTATCAGAATATCATAATACAGGGAAACTTCTACCAAATATTAGGTGAAGCGATATACTGTGTGGTCATGTTTTTTGCATTTTTCTGTGCTAAATTTCTCTTCTTACTCTGACGTTCAGACTGAGTTTAGGGGACAAAGATGTTCAAAATGTGTCAATAGTAGGTACTATCGAACTTGTAAATACAAATCATAGAATTCATTACTTATAATCTCATAATCCCATAGTATTTCTAAATATTCAAATTTCAAAGAAATTATAATAGTTAATAACAAAAGAACACTATGATTACATTGTTGAAAAATATAATTAGTTGCCACTAAACAATCATACAATTAAAATATTTAATAATAAAATTATAATCTTATATTTATGAAGTGTATAACAATGGTGCTGTGCTATAAATAAAAATTCAATCCTTACAAATGTACATATTAAAATCAGGATTTAATTATATATTAATTTAAGTAAACAACACTAGGTGGCGCAATATAGGTGTGAATATTGTTCGGTAAAGAGTTGACTGCGTGAGTAGTGAGTACTATCCGAGCTCATCCCTTAGTAATGCTTATATTATATTGATGTGCCGTGACCAATGACTATGTTTTTACTTTTTATTATTATAAAATAAATAAATATAATAATAATAATTTATTAAATAATTATTTAACATCTTAACTGCCATGCACGTCAATGGTCAATCACCTACGGTTTCGAAGTGTGACGATTGGTAGAAAGAACAGACACACGGCCCTGTAGAAATCCCAAGTAAAGACCCTTCCGACAAAAGCGGCACACTGTCCCGTGAACGTGTTCGGGCAACTCGGGACTGACGAATTGTGTCCATCAGCACCGGGTAACAAAGTGCCGTCGTCCTGGGAGTCCTCATTGGCGGAGTCATTGGCTAGTGCAAATGTCGGCTTCGCGTTCACAACGCTGCCGCCACAATCTATTTCTACATGAAACGACGGCCACTCGCCGGAAAACTGTTTACCGTACGCCGCCAAGTTGACGTCCTGCGGCATCGACCGGAATGTCCATCGTCCACTCAATCGTTCTAGCGGGCGCACGTGATCCGTCGACGTCGGTCGTTGCACTGCCAAGTCCAGCGTGTCCGCTATTGTTGACGATGAGCAATGAATGTAATCGTCGCGGTCGTCTGTTTCGAAAAATTCTGAACGCAGACAGTTGCCAAAGTTGACATCGTCCATAATTTTATATGGTCGAATCAATGCATAAATTCGAATGATAATTTGACGTACCTTTATTGGGTAGTAAGTTGCCTATTTAATAATTTATTATGACGTGATGTGTCCAGGGATGCGAAAGGTATGTGGTATAATATATTTGCAACATTCAACGATGAACAATTATAAGCCTAGACCTACTGGCTACTCACCGATTAAAATTCACAAAGGTTAAAAAAAACTGCGTCTATAATCTATATACATATAGGTATATACACAGTTACAATTGTACGAAATCGAAAAAATAAGACTATTATTAACTGAGATTTATAAAATATTATATTTTATGAAGAATATCGCGTGAGAGACGTCGAAGTACAATACAAATTATAAATTATCGTTATTATTCTTTTATAGATAATTTAAAATAACGATTATATCTAATTGTCGATTGTCATTCTAATTGCATTGTGGTATGACAATACAAATAATATTATTTTATTCGATAATATATAATATATGTGCTATGTGCATAAACTATCAGCTATGTGTATCGTGCGTATGTATTAAGTATTTTCTAATCACTGTGAACGTATATAATATAGTTATATAAAACTACTATATAAATAAGCCTTTAACTTTTCTATCCTAATAACGACTAAATCGACATCATCGATAAACAATAAAACGTTAAAAATTATTCTAGTAATCAGACTATTATTTCAGACATACATCAGTGATCAGTACGTCACAATACCACAGAATAATTCAATAATATCATACTTATTTACATAAGTATAGCCCAGGCCCCAGGAGTAGCTCGTGAAACAAGGTTGGGGGGGGGGGGGGTTAAGTTATAATTTTCAGGAAACTCGATATTATAATTTGTTTTTACAATATACAATTTTTAGAAATATAGGCTTTCGAAGGGGCCGCAGTCCTTAGGCCCCACTCTGAAGGCCGCCCCTGGTGTAGCCGTATATAGTGGCACATCCAGAGGGACGAGGATTATATAATTTACTATATATTAATTAAATACAATATCGAATCAAAATAATGATGGAGAATGTATTTAAAAAACAACTATTTATGTTAAATGCATAGATATTTTTATGGATAAAAATTTAAAAGGGAATATTTATATTGATCATATCAACAACATTATTGTAAGACATTTTTTATATTTTTAATGGTTTAGAAATATTTCTTCACCAAAATTAAGAGTTTTAACTTTTAACTTTTGTAATTTTGGTTCAATCTATTTTAAGTCAAAGGTTACCTAACCTTTTTGGAAATGTGCATATAATAATCATATAAATAAACTAAAGGTATTTTTTTATAAATGTCAATAAAAAATTTTTTGTCTGGTCAAAAGATGTGATAATTTACTACAAGGTTCCTGATATATTGCTACAATACTAGCTAAAAAATAGTTTAAACACAAAGGTACAAATTTTCTTATAAGCATTTAAACTTTAAAGTTCAAATGTTGACAAAATTTATCAAATTGAAAATGTTCAAATTGTTAGCTAAGTTGCACACAACTAGTTAAAACTGTAACCAAAAAATATATAAACACAGGTTTTTTTATAGTTATTTTATGTTCATATTTGGGCGAAATTGTATATTGTTAAATAGGTAACCAATAATAATGATATAATTTATTTTGTTGTATAGCTTAAAAATATTATTAGCGGGTACTTGAAACTTTTAAAGTATATTATTATATTTTATACACACAATAACTTTTCAAATTATTTTTCAGTTAGAAATGTATAAAAGTTTTTCTTTCCATATTAATTAGACATTTTAATAGAAGATTTCACACAAATTGTTGTATCTTCAACAAAAAAAAAATTAACGCTATTCATAGTCAAGAGATATTTTCGGTTGTTTTTTAATTAATATATTTATATACAAGTATATTATGTTAGGATGACACTTCTCCGACAGAATCGTTTATCTTACCTACCTATATAATGGTTTATCATTGAATACATATTATATAACACATCCATTATCTATTAGAATGACATACTCGACGACTACAATAAAACCAGAATTCATATGCGGCTGTATAACCTGTAATTATTGAGATCTCATAAAATGGATGGAAATATTTTCGGATTTTTTGTAGCCCCTCCTGTAATTCGCCTTATGTATGTACTAACCTTATGTCAGTACCAAGTACCTAATGATAAGCGTTGAGTACTGACCCAATATCAACAATTTTCCTCTCACTTTTTGTAAGGGTAAAAGGCTATAAATCCTAAATAATAAATATTTATGCATATGTTAATGAGATGTAGGCAGGTATGTTTATAATAATTCAAGCAGAGTGAAAACATTTTTTTCAGAGTTGGCAAGCCTCCATGATTTGTCTTTCGGAACGGCCCTAAGTCTTCAGGTAATATAATCACGTGTACGTCGCGTGTGTAGGTATATTGTATTATTGCAGTAGGTATATGAACAAAACATACGAATGTAATTTACTCTAATAGGTAATATTAATCACTCTTGGGACCCAACTTTAACTAAACACAAACCGCTCACCTTGGAATACAACAGTCAAGATAAGGAAGAAGTACCTATATAGTATATGCCATAACTATATAAGTACATATACAAATAATAAAATATCTAGTAATAGTAAATAGTAAATAGTAAATACTGATACATTAGTATACTGTTTATATCAATAACCATTATTTTACTGCGCGGTAATTCGAAGTTATCTAAACTACAATAACTAAAATTGTTCAATCAACAATATAATGAATTTTAAGAATGAAAATATTGTTTGTTTATAGAATAATATTGTACAAAGAAATATTTTGATAAAGCTTTTTCATAAAATTGTTCAACCTATACTAGATGTGCCTGGGGATAAAAGTGAGGCTGAGCGATATAGGTGCCTAGTCAGTAAAATTGTTATATATTATATTTGTTTTTCATCACTACACATAATATAATACAGTATCATTATCAAAATATTTATGATTGATTTAAAATCCCTGTGTAACTGTGTAAGCCCATCATTAAAATGCAAATTGGGGGGACGAGGTGACCGAGTGGTCTGACTCTTCCGCTGCGACTCAGCCGGTCGCGGTTCGATCCTCGGCCACCGGGCGGCATTTTTCTCCGAACAAGTCGCGGTGACCGGAGAGCAAGTGCTGCCATCCCCCTACCCCCGGGGCATGGCAGAAACCTACGGGTGCCCCATTCGAAATTCTGCCAAAACAAACACACACGTGTTCCCCCCTACCGTACCAAAAACATACAAATAACCATCAATACAAAAAACCTACAGTACCTACTAATAGCTAATGGCCACAGTTGCCGGGCTCAGGATCAATTAAAAAAAAAATAATAAATAAATAAATAAAATGCAAATTTTTAATTACATTTTATTTGCAGTGCATCCCTAAATTATGATACGTAGGTACCACGAAAATGTAAAGTCTCTAGGTATCATAGTTTTGGTGTACCTATAGTGTAGGTACCTACGAGGTTGATTAGTCAGTCAAGACATCCTCTTTTGAATGTGTTTTTTTTTATTTTTATAAGATATGCCTAGCTTGCGTAAACTATATGGGTAAAACACGATTCCGCACGTTTAAATAATATTATTACTTAATTTTTATATTTTACGTAAAACATACTACGTATAATAATATAACATACACTTGTTATTTAGATACAAGAACACAATATTTTAAGAACTTTATATTTCATGGATGGAGATGAATTAGGCATTTGGTTAAAATCATTTTTTGGACTACCGTTTCTCCCATTGGAGAAGGTTGTAGAAGGATTTTTAGAACTCATGAGTAAGTGTCCAAATGAAAGTGAATTTTCTGATTACATACTTAAATCGTACATAGAAACAAGAACCTGGTTGTCTATTCCCACTTGAATTATGGGCAAGTAAACCTTCAATTACTCCAAGGTAACTAACATTTTATTTTTCAAAATACATTTTATTTAGGGATATTGAAAAAAATTGTTTTGTTAGAACTTAGAACCACAAATGGAGCAGAAAGTTTTCATAAAATGTACAACGGACAATTTCACAGTGCTCATATCCATCGAAGCATGTAGTAATATCTGTACTGTAGTGGAAATACAAGCCGAAACTATGACAAAAATTAATTCAATTGCTAGAAACGTGCACAATAAAATGGAACCATCCGATTTAAAACATATACATAATATTATACAACACTACAATAATTATAAAGTACATAAAAATAGTATAAAATATCTTACATCTATTGGCATTATGTATCAAGGGAAAAATTATATTAAATTATTTTACATTATTTTTTGTAATGACGTCTATGAGATTGTAATAAACCACTTGTAATAAATTTGACAACGTTGCACCCAATTCCTATTGAATTCCTATGAACAAAAAATTGTGCAGAATCGTGTTCAAAAAACAAAAAACGTGCGGAATCTTATTCCTCCCAACTATATCTAGTGATAATAAATATATGCATACATGTTTTGTGACTTACTATATACGTGCGATTATTAAATTTAATTTTAAATAGTAGTGGAAAAGTGACTAAGTGATTAGGTATTGGTTTAATACTAATAGTCGTTTAATAATTGAATCATGACGAAGTCCACGTTTAAGTTGGCGTTGAACTGTTGAAGTAATGATTTTACTTTGAAATGGTAGGTCATAGATTATAGAACCCGTTGACTAGTGAATGAACTTAAAGAAACTTTAAGATTTGGAATTTCGAAGCCTTTGTGTATGTTTATTCAGAAGTCCCTATTTTTTAGTGAACACAAAGTGTGTAGTCCGAAATTGGAAATGTGCATTTCGGATTTGAGAAGTGTGTACCAATATACAAGACTACTGTCTACTGACCTATAGGATACCTATTACCTACACTACATTACAATTGAACATTTTTTTTTATTTTTGAAAAAGAAAGTTTCCAAGATAACAAAAATAAATTGTTTTCAATTAAATTTTACCAAATAGATCTATAATTTTCTACTTTTAATTGTGAATAGTGAACACGTCGGATATAGATACCAGATATATTTAGTATTATTATCAGTATACGTATATTGTGAAGGAGATTCCTCGTCATATTTTTTTTTGTTTAATGTTGTCTACTCCACGTATAATGTAGTTAGGTATATTACCGAGGTACAAAATAATATATTATTATTAACTGATTATCACTATTAAAATAGGTAAAAACTCAAAATAATAAATTATTTATGTAATTATTTTATATATTGATAGTACAGGCTGGTAGCCCAATGGTTATACGATGTGAAACATTTAAAGACATAGTTGAAATATTAGAGTACAATAAAAAATAATAATTAATAAGAAACAAAAAACACCAAAAATTAATAATGAAAAACAATTATATTGTGCTATACAAATAAATACTCTGAGGAACCAAATATTATAATATGAATTAAATTTTAAATGAAATATCTTACATAAAATAATGTATTTATTTAATTTTAATACAGTCATTTATTGTTATATTTATATTTCATAAGAATATTTTTTTAGTTTATAAAATAAAAATGTTTTTTTAATTTTTTTAATAATGTCTCATGGGTACATAAAAAAATGTGTACCTAGTACCTACGAATTTTTAAGAAAAATAGTAGCTGGTTTATCGTTTAGGCTAGGCGTTACTTCCAAACTACGGGACATTAGTTATTGTTTTAGTTTAGGTTTTTATTTTGGAATATTTGTAGTTTTTCAAGTGGTTTTGTGCGTATTTATCCCAAATAGGACAAGCATATTATTTTATTATTATGTACTTATATTTAAGCAGTGGACACAAAGCGTAATACTTGCTTATATTTATTATGTAGGTTAGTAATTAATCATAATTACTTAATGCCAGCATTTATAAGTGTTAAACTTAATCTATGCACCCTTTATATTTTAGAATAATGAATATATATTGAAAGTTTCATGAAGACTGGTCCAGTAGTTTTGGAGGAGACAGCAATAAAACATTTCGTCGAACTCCACCCAATCAAAAATGTATAACTACTTTCTATTTGTATTTGTTTTATTAAAAAGTTAAAATTAATATTTATTATTTTGTTGAAATACTTTTTACCTGTGCGGTTTCCCTGCAGCATCAAGCGTCAACTAGCGTCGGACTTAGATAAAGTCGTTGAGCGTTGTCAGCCTCCTCCGTGCTGTTCTGCTGTTTGACGCTGCAGGGAAAACGTACCTTTATACTTAATTATAATTTATCATTAGGAATATCGTATATAGTTTATGGTCTGTACTGTCCCAAATACGCATTACAATTTGGGCATGTGTGGTTGACAATATTGCACGAGTCCATGCAACAAGGAATTAGACAGCATCCAAAAGAACATCTAAAAATATATATAATTATACATTTATACATAGCCAGTTACACGATTGATCAATCATATCCGCTCATTCAATAATTAAAATAACATTTGTAGGAATAGTTAACAAACGTCATAATAATAATATTAATTTTATCAAATGATAATATCTTATTGCCAATTGGATAAATAAAAACAATTTTAATATAAGGTCAATGCTCACCCACAGATACACAATAGTAAACCACTCCACCAAGCAGAAGATTTTGGTGTTTTAGAAGTATTGGTATGTATTGCCCTGCCACATGAAGTGCATATAGTTTGAACACTATTAGGGCCTAATGGTACTGCAAGTGCAGGCGATTGAACCCCTAAACAATCATAAAGTCATAAAGAAAACAAAAATTAATCTGACCTTATAATATTATTATGTACATTTATTTGATACAACATAACCAAATTTATCCTATTTAAACAATGATATTATAAAAAATATAATATTATAATATATTTTGAAAAACAAATCATATAAGTAAGGCAGATGCGTCATTTCTAATGAAATATGCATAAATACCTAGGTTGTGGCTAAGGGGACGGAGGGCTGACCGCTTTGATACTTGCGGAAATCGGCGCAACCCATTTGCACCCCAAATCATAGCCCATATGTGCCCGATTCAGATCAGGTGAAAATCGCGCAACGTTGCCATTTATTGAGTGTATTGGCGTGTAACTATAAAATCTAAAAATTTGTTTAGTTTTTCGTTATTTCAAATATCATGTGAGTAGAAACCTTGTTTCTGGACATATAAGTTCGGCGTTGTGTGAAAAAACCTGTAGTGCATATGTCAAAACCAATAATTCAAAAACGAATTTACCGGAATTAAAGACAGTCATACCCATGATCCAGAAACTGAAGAAAGTTTAAACTTACTTATATTTTGTATTATTGACTAATGTGAGTAATGTGTATTAAAAATTGAGATATATATGTGTAGTATTGTAATGGTATTTATTAATTAGTTTGATTTTAAGTAAAAATTTAACTATTTGAAATTTATAATTTAATGCGATATAAATAATACTTAGGTATGAAATATGCATACTGTGTACTGTGTAGTATTTATCATTATTTTCAAAACGATTACTTTTAAGGATTATTAATTTTGATTTTATCTACAATTTTATTTTTTTAAACGATCTTAAATATAATTGACGACAACGTTGCATGCAAAATGGGCGCATCTGGGCTATAAATCAGGGTGTTAAGTTTTTTATTTCGGGCACAAATGTCCATAACCCTCGGGGCTAAAATGGGCTACAGCCTACAAAATCCGGGATATAAGAATAAACATCAAAATGTAGGTAGCTCCCCATCTAGTAAAACCTGAAATACACCGCTGAGGGAAGGTTTTCAATACTCAGGTATATTCAAACAATTTAAAGAAATACCTAGCATAATCTAATTTGAACTCAACCAAAAAACAAATACAACAGACAGGTTTAAGTAAGACAATGATATTGTCTTTAACATTGAATTTTTAAAAATTAATAATAGGTATATCTAAAATAAGAAACACGAACAAAATAAATAATTATATGAAAGCAAGTTAAACAAGCGTGCTTATTACTTTACTTTTACTTACATTGAACATTTTGAGGAGGAGCTGATGGCATCATTTGTTTTACTTTGGTGTTCAAAACGAATTAATTTTAAGTATGAAATAATAAGTAGGTAACCTAGCAGCTATATTATATTATAACTTAAAAGTTAAATGTTATGATTTCATGTAAAATTGAATGGTCTTATGTCTAAATGCTCGAACGTGTGATTAACGAATAACTATATCATGGCGAATAACGGATAGTGTTTGAGTGGGTACGTCATAAGATGATGATTAAATGTTTGATAAGCGATGACATAATATGCGCATTCACTATTCGTTTACTTTTTAACATAATCGGAAAAAACTATTAGGAAAATTGTTAAAATTGTAGTATTATTAAGAGGACGCTATACCCGTATGTGTTGTCTCCGTCTTACAAGAGCACATCAAATTTTACGTTCAGCAGATCACGTTAAGCTCAGTTAGCTTAAAAATTAGAGTGATTTGACCCCTTATTAAAATTAAAGGTAAGATTATTGCGGAGGGCTTCTCATAGGCTTTTTATTTTATTTTTATTTTAAAGATAGTTATGTAGTTATTTATAGTATTTTAAGTTAATAAACAATTTACAACTTTTAAATGCTCATAACTCTCTTTAAAATTAAAATATAATAAAAAGCCTATGAGAAGCCCTCCGTAATAATCTTACCTTTAGTTTTAATAAGAGGTCAATTCACTCTAATTTTTAAGCTAGCTGAGCTAAACGTGATCTACTGAACGTAAAGTTTGATATGTTACGCTCTTATTGTAAGACTGAGACAACACATGCGGGCGTAGCGTCCTCTTAAAATCATTGTTTATTTTATTTTTATGTATACGTATCAAAAAATAGACTGCTGTCGCTCACTGCTCAATATAGAAAATTATAAAATAAACATTTAGTGAAAATGTTAAGTATCAATAGTTATTTGTTTTTCAATCACCTACAACAAAGTAAGAAAATCATCCAATTGAAATTGTTCTGATGAGAATTCTTTTTTTTTATAATGGGAGTGACAAATAAATCTTAAGGATAGATACATATTACATATAAACTTTAGATAACACAACATAATATCAATTAACAATTAGTCAGAAATCAATAAGTTTCAGTAGATCAAAAATAAAATATACCTACTAAATAAATAATAATATTATGGTAATAACGGTAAAGTATATGATAAGCGCTTTTATAATTCATTGCTTCATTATTCTGCATATCTGCATGACTGCATAGCCTATTGATGTTTGCGGATTGTAATAGCTAGGGCCCGGATTTGTATGCATTTACATATTTTTAAATGAGTAAGGCTGTGAATTTAATGCACTAAAGAACCTTAAAAAGTGCATTAAAAATGTCAAAAAAATGTAGTAAAGTATGCACTTAAAATACCAAAAATGCAATATAAAATGCCAAAAATTATAGTGTGAAATTCATTTAAAATGGTTTTTAATTTTAATATTTGTATTAATATTAGGTACAGGATGTTATACATTAGTATTTAATACATTACTTGCATAAAAGTGTTTATTAAATAAAAAAAAATAGAAAAATGTTGATTGAATTTGAATTTTCTTTACTTAATGCTATTCATCTAGAACATTTTTTAAAAATTTTAGAGATAAATAGCTTACAAATAACTTATGTAGTTATCTAGCAATTGCCTTATTTTATCGACGTATATACAGCCTGTGTATAAAAACAAATTTATATTTTCAAACATTTTTTCCGTAAATTGACGGAATTCGATTCAAAATACTGGAAAATGAACTAAAAAAGGAAAATATGACCTAAAAACGCACAAAAATGATCCAAACAATTAAAAATGTCGAAAAATACAAAAAAAAAAAAAGTTGCATAATTGGATTCGTAGTTACATAATTCAAATGATGACTACAAAGCTACGTTTCACAATCACTAAAGAAATGCACTTTCCTACAAATTCACAGCCCTAGTAAATAGTAATGAGCGTAAGCAGTTGGATTGAAATAATAAATGTGAACGATTTGGGTAGCAAAGAATGCATAGAAAAAAGTTTATTTTGCATATAAATGCAGAATTTAGATATGAGAGCATATATGAAGAATTTGGCTTATCAAGCATATTTTGTATATAATCAATATGTTTTTATTTGTTCAAATTGTTTTTTTTTATAAACCGTTTTCATTGTACATTCATTTTTTTCATAAATATTTACCAAAGATTACATTTTTTTTTTTTTTAAATTATTATTTTTTAACTAAATTATCCACTTTATTATTTAACATATTTTGAATCATTTATTGTTCTTTAATTAATATTGTAAGTTGATGTCTCAGTGTCTATAGTAAAAAAATTAAGTTTGTTTAATTAAGTTGTGTTAATACAAATGGAAAAAAAATTATAAACGCATATATTTTGGGTAAGAGCATATTTTTGCATATTATTAAAAAAACAAGAACATATTTAAAGGTTTTTTGATGCATAACTGCATACTATTCTAAGATTTTTGAGTGCATACAAGTCCAGACCCTGATTATAAAATACTAGTTTAATAATTTGCATAAACTTTTATTGTTTTATGTCATAATAATATTTAATCAGCTAATACACCGAACATTAATTAATTAATGTTAACAATGGTTTTTTATCACTATAAAACGTGGCCGAGAATAGCCAACAATTCACACCCCCTCCCCTTCCTTTAAAAACAGCTGAGCACCCCACTGAATCACACGAGTAATTATTGTGCATTCATGATTAATAGGTACAAAACAAAATTAAAAATACCTATATCATTATGATAATAATCAATAATGTAAAGAATATAAAAATAAATACAACTTACGTTCCTAGTGTTACAGCATATGGGTAACATTATGCCAAAATATGATTTATTTCTTATATCACCTATAGAGTAGTCTATTTTTAGGCGGATAAGAGTAATTTGGTTTTTGGTTTGGAAAACCAATTTTTTGGTAGCGGAATATGCATGCATTATGGTGTATTGGTGTGTGGTAGATCAACACACACTAAACAAATTGATACCGCGTTAAATGAGAATGAACAGTGAACACATTTTGAAAGGCTGCTTAATAAAGCCAACACCACTAGAAAAACTATAACCATAGAAAATATATACTATAACCTCTAAGAATAGAGCCATCATATAAACGTAGACATATTGCTAGTGACATAGAACTAACTAAACAGATCTCGGATGAAAGACACCCGACGTGGATATGTATAGTGCCATAGTGGATAATATAAAGCTTATCGACTCAAGTCAAAAAAGAGCTTCCTAAAATGCCCAAAGAAACTAAAAGGCGACCCACAGAGAGCAAGAGACTACAATGTTGTGAGCTAGAGAGCAAACAAGTCAAGAAGAATTTAGCCTCTACACAACAACAAATGAATCACGGGTCACAGGAGTTGGACTGATGAGAGAACCTGAAAAGTGGAGAATAATCAATGGGGGAAAGAAGACATAAACTGTGTATGCAGACTGCAGAAAGATCCAGACTCCAGACAATAGCACTCCTGCTAATTTTTAACAATAGCCGAACCAAATGTGACACAACAGACTTACCTATTGACTATTACATAGTTTATAATATTATATTTATGGTTATGGATATGTTAAAGAAGTGTTACATGGTCATATGGATAAATGTAATGATTATATTATGCTTATAGTTAATCATGCAAATTAAATTAAAAAAGAATAATGTATTTAGTTGATACGGGGCTTTTTTTCTTAGATTTTGTACAGCACCTACAACAATCGGTCGGCACACTTATTATCCTCTTAGTCCTTAGAGCCAGACTACAGAATAGTGAGTACAGGTAATATCATAGAAGCAGATATTTATTTAACTTTAAGTTCATATTATTTCTCCAGCCATTTTATAAAGTGCCCTGTCTTGCCCTACTCCCCCTTGGCCCTTATAGGAAATCATGATTGTACATATTTTGTAAGCATATAATGACCAATTTTCTTAATGAACACAACAATTTGGTACATAGACGTTTTTTTATTGACAAACTCAATAAAATTTCTTAGTCACTTTTGAAGCTTTATCTTTCTCCATCTGTCTTATTATATACAGTTTCAGATACATTGACTATGTACACAAAAATTAGCCTTATAATTTTTTTTTTCTATAATTGAGATCATCAATTACTTTTATGTAAGCAATAATGCTGTTCTGCTATTATTAAATTTGGGTCTACATAGAAATATATAAAGCAATTGGAAATCACAATTTAAAACAAACTCTGCATAATTTAAAATATATTTTTTCACATTTAAGGCACACGACAAAAAAAAAAAATGAAATCCTTGAACATACTATTTCTATACTTTTGTTATAGTAAAATCATTATTTTAATTTATTAACAAAACTTAAACAATATAAATATACATTTTTCCAAATAATTTATACTTAGTGACAGTAATAATCATACTAAATTATTGTAAGACAGCAGTGTATACAAAGAAATATGTATTTATCATGATATATTATTACATTCATAACACATACTGCTCAATTTTTATTTAACATGATTAGTAGTAAAATAATAATATGGTACCTTATTTTTAAATTTATCGCCATCATAATATGTATGTTTGAGTATAAAATAAAATTTTTTTATAGAAATAATACACAAAACATTGAAAACAACCTGTATTCAATTGTCATTTATAATAATTAATAAATAATAATAAAGAAAAAAAATTAGGTACTGTTTAAAGTTTAAACTCATATTGTTATTGTAATATAGTATTGTATTTTAGTTTATGGTCTGTACTGTCCCAAAAAAGCATTACATTTTGGGCATTTGTGGTTGACAACATTGCAAGAGTCCATGCAGCAAGGAATTAGGCAGCATCCACAAAAACATCTAATAAAAAATATAATGTAATTTTATCTACATACAAAGAGTTACATTGTTACAAAAAAATTAATTTAACTCTGTAAAAATACTTAACAATGATAAAAATATACATAATACAGTAGAAGCCGCTTATTGGGAACACGGATAATTGATACAATCGCGTTATTGAAACAAAATGTCTAGGGACGGATCGGCCGTATATTAGAACATTGAAAATAAATTAGATTATTGAAACAATCTGGAGATAACCAATGTACCTACTTTCATCTTATATTCTTATCTTTACTGTCTTTACGTTTATATCTATTGATGTGGACTCACACCTCGGTGTGGCAGAGATTCAAATTGAAAAGGAGATTTGTAATGTGGCAATGAATTCACAAAAAATTGAACAGGCCAATACTGATGATGAAGAAGAAAACAGCGAGACACCCCTGGCACTCCCATCAGATAAGGAATTTGTAGAAGCTCTAAGTGTTCTCAGGAGAGCCGTCCAGCAGCGTGCGGATGAAATAAGTTTTGAGCTGCATTACATGTATGAAAATATGTTCATGGAGTTACTCGACAAAATAAACTTCGATTGATAAATGTTTCAAATAATATAGTAAAATATATATATATGAATATATAATATATATATTGTCAATACATAGTTAAATATACATATATACATATATTTTTCATTTTTTTTTCAATTGGTAATTAGAAACAATCGATTAATGTCAAATGTGTCAACATTTCACCTTGGTCCCAAAGTGTTTCTAATAAGCGGCCTCTACTGTATATAAATTACATTTTTTTTTTTTAAATTGAGTTTGTTGTAACATATACAGAAAAGTTGTAAGTTTTGTTTTAATACTCACCCACAGATACACATCAGTATACAACTCCACCAAGCAGAAGATTTGGCTTTCTTAGATGTACTAGTACAGATGTAATTTCCGCATACAGTGCATACAGTTTGTGTACTACTAGGACCCATCGGTTGTGGTGCAGCAGCTGGAGGCGATTGAGGCCCTAAAAATTGAAATAATAAATATTCAAAACATTAAGATTTTGGGTACATAATACATATACAGATTAATGTTATTTATTGACTGACCACATTTTTTTTTAGGGACATTAATCAAAAGACCTAATATTAATCAAAAATTGTATATGGCTATAAATAGTTCAACACGAGTCAAAATATTTTGAAAATTGTATGGTGTATAGAAAATGCAAATACTAACATTCAGTGAAAATGTCATGTATATAAAGTAATTAATTGTTTTGTGTTATTACTCTAAGAAATGTATTTTTCCCTTACTTTTTTTACTTTAAACCTGAAAGGCTGTATAAATAAAATAACTTTTGTTACAATCAATATATTAAAAATAATGTTGTTAGCACTGAGAAGAAAAATTCAAAATAACCGATTTGTAAATATCTTTTTTAGAAAACTTTTGGCTATAAAAATATCTATCTAAGTCAAACAGTTTATTTTTTATGATTTTTTAAAATGCCAAAAAGTTTTGAAGTATAACTCAATAATTTTAAAAGCAAAAACTTTATAAAGAAATATTTAGATTATTTTAACAAGTAGGTGTCTATTATAAATTCTCATTAAATATTTAAAACAAGTTTATTCTTTTTGAATCTAAAATGTATTTTTACGACTAGATCAACTTAACTTAACAAAAATAATGAGATTTTAAAAAAATCGTAAAAAATAAACTACATCATTAACTGATTACATTTTTTTATTTTTAATATTGAAAAAATTAAAAATTTTAAGCTAAACGTGTGACACTAACGCCTGTAAATGAAAGGAAAAAAAAATTTTAAATATTGATTAGAATAAAATGTATTTCATTTGTCAAGTCTTTCTGTTACGCCCTATAATACAGTAAACTGTCGTTATATCGAAACTAAAGGGGAACAGAGATAGGGGGAGTTTAATACATCAAGTTTTCTTTAATGGTAATTATTAACCTAATAAGCAAGGTTAGGCTAACCTAACCTTGCTTATTCAATTAACATTATAGTATTATTAACATTATTATAGAAGCCTTCACATCCCGAAACAAAAAAAATCTCAAGCAATATTGGCACCTATGCAGGTGGAGGTGGACATAAACAAGTTAAAAAGATAATTTTTTTAAACTTTTGAACTTAACTAGTTTGATTGGCGGTTGAAATACTCTTAGCTTTTCAGTGGACTTACAAATTATCCATCAAGTGAAACGAAAAAAATTTCGTTTATACGTAAATATTAATATAAAAATAAAAATCATTCAATACCATAATAACACAAACATATGTTATTTTTCTTGATAAAATAATTTTGTTTATAGATATATTTTAGTAGATTAGATAAGCATAAAGCCATGACATACACAATATTATTAAATTAATGTTTCCAGAACAAAGAACAATTAACGATAAGAAAAATACGGCTAGCAACCAGATTCCGGAAATTGGAAAAAAAATGTTAAAAATAACTTTAAAATTAAATTATCGTATAAATATAGTTGTATATTACACATTATACACGTCAAATATAATAATACTTTGCTGTTCAAAGTTTCAAACTATTATAGTGCACTTGCAATTTGCATTGACCATGACAATTTTTTTAATAAAACTATAAATTACACAGAATGTTATGTATAAAAAATTCCAACTACAAAGTTAAATAAATACGATATATACAATGTCGGCACCCCACTAATTCAATAAAATAGATTATTATAATTTTGGAAAATAAATCTTTCTCAAGATCGCAGACCGCAGTCACTCCTGAAGTGATTTATACTAATTAAAAAAGTAGATTAACTTTTTTTAAACTAAGAAGTAAATATTGTTTTCCGTATTAACTTTTAACTTTTTGAGTTAAATTAATGATTTGTTAACTATTAACTTTTAATTTAACTTGAGTTAATTATTTTCATTAACTTCAAACTTGCCCACCATATGTCAATATGGGAGATTGACTATCGATTGCCATCCGTTGGACAAGTATGTGAATGTTAATCGGAAGTCCTACATATCAGTATATCACACAAAGGCATAGGACACATAATATTATCAAATCCCGTGTAACGGGATAGTATAGTATATATATAGTATATAATGTTTGCTAAATTAGTGTGGGTGACGGTTACATTATAAATTTATAATAATGCATATTATAAAATATATTCTTGGAGGCCAAAGTGGCTGACATACTTTTTGACTTTTGTTGCTTTTACGTAAGTATTATCATTGATTATTCCATAATCAATGGTATTATGTAACAATTTTGGCAGATTAATCGTAAATATAAAGAAAATTATGAACCAACCCCTATCGTGAAACATTACTGAATCCGCCCTTGCTTGTTGATATAGTAGTATACACTTAATTTTGATTTCTATTATTTTAATTATTTCATACACAACAAATAGTGTTGGGTCCGTCCTTGTACCTATCATGAATATAAAACATTAAGTACAATAAATTATGTAAAATTTCATATCTATGGTTCCAAACGTGTTCAACGACTTCAACGTCCGGTTACTTGATATTGTAAATATATTTAGAATTTAGATCATAGTAACATGGTCAATACTAATAATAAAATACAAATATTATAATTAAAACTATAGAATATAAACATAATTAGCGTATAAAATAAATTAACTAAATAGATTAATTTTGTTTTATCGCATTTTATAATATAGAATTTTATAATATTGACGCCGCGTAGTCACCACACGACTGCTGCCAGCCTGCCAACGATAACAAAATATGGTTGTGGGACGTGACCACGTGGGTGACTGGCGAGTGGAATAATTGTGTGACTGTGTGAGGGTTTTTATTTTCTTAACACCAAGAATAACAATAATATGAATTATTGATCATTGCGTGTTTTTCGATATACACAACGACGATTGACAATGGTCGAATGTATTACTAATCATTAGGATTATACATTATTCAATGATTAAGATCTGAAGTATTTAACATAAACAAAAACTAAAAAAGTAAGGGATGGGCCGTGAGTGTAAAAGGTCCACATAATTTAAGACACAAAAACACAATAAAACATCCATTAATACATTAAATACATTACCCACTACAGTTAAAAACAAACAGAATGATAAATAATAAATATAATATTACTAACTTAGTACCTACCCACTCTTAAATAATAATAATAATAATCGTATCAATTTGAAATTAGTATTCATATTTCATAATAATATATATTAGAGTAATATAATGAGTATTAGAGACCATACAATATTTATTAAATTTTAAGTATTGTATTATTTTTTATAGGTACAAACATTAAGAGGACGCCACACCCGCATGTGTTGTCTCCGTCTTACAAACGCGTAACATACCAAATTTACGCTCAGCAGTTCAAGTTTTACGCCGTTAGCTTAAAAATTATTATAAATCGACCTATTATGAAACTTGATGGTAAGAACTTTATCTGTGTTTTGTTGGAAGTTTTTTAAGCGAGGTATGCTTGTATAATAAATGTAAATTAAAAATACTCATAAGATGAGTCCCTTAATAACTGAATTATTGTAAAAAAACACAGATAAAGTTCTTACCATCAAGTTTCATAATAGGTTGATTCGCTCTAATTTTTAAGCTAACGGCATAAAACTTGAACTGCTAACTGTTACGCGTTTGTAAGACGGAGACAACACATGCGGATGTGGCGTCCTCCTAATACATGCGCCGGCATCAAACGAATCCGGTAAACCACTTGTGAATTGTCGTCTACGGACAGCGGCAAACCAGTAGATAAGCACGTGCAAATACAAAATAATGCATTTAAAAAATTAACAATTGAACAAACCGTTTCTTTCCTTTGAACACCTCTCAAGAATAAATAGTAAATTATAACAATCTTATTAATTAAATAGTGTACAATTATTAATTGTCAGTGGAGATGGACAAATTCAGCTTTTTGCATACTATAACAATACTTTGCTAATAACGACTGCGAAGTACCTACGCAGCTTCTTAATGATAAAAAAAAACTCTTAAGTTCTGGTCTCAGCCCAATAACCAGCATAAGCTATTACGCAATATCAGTTTATTCATTTTTAATTTTTAAATTATAGGTATTATAGGTACTCACATTGTATTTGAAGCGGAGCAATAGGCTGGATCATTTCACTCATGTTTATTTTTTTATCCAAAACAAAAAAATCTCGAGCGTATTGCGTGTGAACGTATTAATACCACTGAAGATGAAATCAGTTTCAAACGCTTTAGTGTAGGTACTAAAACTATTTTGTTCAACAAAGATTTTGAGAGAAAAAAAAACTAATAACGAGTACTATAGGATACAACGCGACCAACGTACTATGTCGAAATGACTATTGAGCACCGACTCTACTAGTCTATTGGCCCTAAACAGTGACTGCCATGACAGAGACACGCAGTGTATTATAGAACTGTAGAAGTCACTCTGGTCTGTCTTGTCTCCGCTGACGGCGCAGTTATCGGGCAATAAACGTACGGTACGCTTTGTTGTGTGTGTATTTACTTGTTTGTTTGAGAGTTTGAGTCGTTTGAGACAACTGCGCCGAATGCCAGTTGCTGTCACAGAATACAAATATTGTGTCGACGATTGTAAAAATACATTATACAATCGTCCGAGCACTATAGGGGTGTGGTATTCGGGCAGTGTTGGTTCTCCCTTCTCCACTAAGTATTTTTTCCACTATAAAACCCGCGGTCACAATGGCCATTTGGTGTCATTAAAGCAATATTACTATTTTCTAGGCGATAAGCGATAATTATTATTTATGTTGTATCTATAACATGATTATAACATGATTCGTTTGTACTAATAATAATAAATTGTACGTCCGATTACATTCAATCAAAACTGCATTTTCGTCTGTCGAGAGTCGATTGAATATAACACTCAACTCTATTGTTGTGACGTGTATAGTTGCATAGATTTGTTAAATTTCAACATTTCTGCAGTTTTGGGTATGAATTTTAAAATACTAGACTGCTAGAAAGGAAATAATCTCTTCCTATAATAGTCCAGTATATTTTTAGAAAATAGAGACTGAGGCAGAGGCGTAGAAGAGAGCACATTGCACAAGTTACAAGTATATTGTATAATAATTATGTAGAACATTTATTGGTGACAGTACTAAAATTATCTGGGATTAACCAAAAACAATATTTGGAATTAGTCTATAAATAATCAATATATTTTTATCTAGGTACTTGGTCAAAAATAATATTCTGTGTGTAGACCAACTGGCAAGTAGGCACAAATTAGCAATTCAGTACTCAACAATGGTTGTCGCTTATCGGGACCATGATTAAATATTAATAAATAACTAGTCTAAGTCTAAGTAGTGTAGACGAATCCCGGACGAAAAGTCCGGATACATTTTTTCACTGTCTAAAGTTAAACGCTAAAAAGATCGATTAAACATAGTTTTATTATGTAACATTAGAGTTAGGCGTTAATTAAACTACCCCATTCCAACGTGGATGGGGTCCATTTTTATATACATATTATATATATTTATTATTAGGTAAACATAATCATTTTTTTTCATTAATCATATAAAATATTTGTCTTATGTAATACCTATTTAAATTATTTAAAAATCTAAAAACTAATAAACTTATTACTGTCTTTATAAAAAAATATATATTATTCAAGGCTATTATTATTATTTGCGATTTGCGATTTGTACAGTTCAAAAATTATATTCATTCATCGATAATTCTAGTCAAGTATTTTTTTTCAGATGAAATAAATTCGTCTGCAGTGTTTAATAATTTGTGACTAATATAAATAATTATAAATATATTAATATAATTCTAATATAATACGTTATAATAACACAATACAAAATTCACTTAAATAAATATTAAAAATATTAAACAATATACAAATTACAAACACAGATGATTATATAAATAAATGTTGGCTCTGTTGACGAGATTTTTTATTAAATAATTAAACAAATTGTTAAATTAATGTAGAAGTAAAATTCAATAATACTTTTATATAACTTTTGTTTATCAATATCAATCATTACCCCATTCAATTGGGTAATAAATCCTTAACGTGAGTCGTGAACTGCCCCGGCTGAAGAGGTAGGTGACATAGGCCCACTGCCTATGGCGTCATTTTTCAAGGACGGCTTTTAAAATGTTTGTATATTACATCATTTTTAAAAAAATTGGTGGTACCTACTTATATTAAATCGTGTGTACTAAAAAATAAAAATATAAAATTTGGTCAGTATGATCGGACAAATATAAAAGTGTATTTTACGCTTTTGGTAGACCGTCGATCGCAGCAAGTTGCTAATGACACCAAAGACCTAACCTAATGAATTCAAAATTAAGTAAATTTTAGTTATGTTTATATAAAAAAAATACTTGATATAGTATTTACATGTATGAGGGGCGGCAATACTTAAGTTTGTCTAGGTGTGTAAAATCACTTGAACCTGGCCTGGTGGTGCATGATGATAATCGATAGATGATGGTATATTTCGGATGAAAACCAATGAACCTATTTTCCAATCTATTATTATGTGTACGATAAATATATATTGATTCAGGAGGGAAACGTCCAAATACCTTTTTATACAATAGTCAATAAGCACCACGATTAAAGAAATTATTTAGGTATTTCATATTATATACACTTCAGGTACATATAATATTATAAATTATCGAATTAAATATCAAAATAACACTTATTAGTATACTACTATCATACTAGCTCATAGCGATATACTACGAGTAGGTATATGATGTGTAGAGTCACAGTGATAGCGTTGTGATTTAATAAAAGCTATAGGTTTAATTATATTTTAACTGGCTCAAAAAAAATGTTATCTACTCCAAAAATAATATTGTTAGGACAATATTGATTGACAACATAATATATTTTATTGAAAGCAATACCATAGAACAATACCTATGTGTACAATTTATACATTTTATATGGTTTCATAGCTCAAATCATTTTAAGTACATAAATAATAATCTTTTAAACAATACATGTTAGATTAAACTTGATATAGACGAAAGTTGATCATAATATTTTTTTAACAAATGGATTGTTTAATTTTTAATCTGTACCAATATTTTTTTGGAAAGAACCACCAGAGTTCTGAATCTGAAGACCATTCTAAGGACTATTTGGTATACGAAATATGAATTCTCAATTGTCTACAAATGTCAAAAATTACGATTTAATAAAAACATAATATATAAATACTAAATATTTAGAACAATATTATGATGGAAGAGGAGTGGAATTCGATTTCAACATCAACAATAAAATCAACAAATTCGAAACATTCAATTGAGGAGCATCCTAGTCGAGATGAAATCGATGTGTTCTCTTTATGTAAGTTCTTCTATGGGTCCCAAGTTATATACTGATCCTTGTGTTAAAGCAAACGACATAATATTTGTGGTATACCTATACTACAATTATTATATATTATAAAATGTATGGGTTATTTTTTAAAGTCATTGTAGCATGCAATAACAGTGGTTGTCGGTTATATGTACGATGTACCTACCTAATTTAATAAGTGTAAAAGCTTATGCACATAGACTCAAAAATATAAGTTTAGGTACAAGAAGAATATCTGGTTTTTTATTTATACATTATACATTAAAAAAAATACCGATATTATTAAGTATAAAGTGATATTATGTTAGTGCTGTATATTATACAGTATATAGAGGATTAATGGAAATTACTATGGAGAAGCTTGATATTGGAGAGGGAGATGCAAAATTTAAATGGAAAAATTATCATATTATTACAGTAATTTGTTGATATTCTTAACAATTTAGCATACAATTTATTCTAATGTGTTTGACATTAAGATAAAATGGGTGAATTCCGTGAGTCAATACATTTTTTTTTATTGGTTAAAATCATGCAACATGAATGTTATTTTAAGTTATCAATTAATTTATACCAATACGTCATACATGGTTATTAACTGGCAATTAAATTGTTTACATTAAATTACATTTATCGTTATACATTAATGTACGGACCAGCATGTTAATAGTTTCATGAAATTTAAATAAGTTTTCATTTTTATTTATTATTATAGGGAAAGGTTAACATAAATAATAATATTTCGACCTTTATACTGCAAATCCCTGATATACTAAGTGATGTATCAAGCATGCTCGCCCTATTCACTATTGGCTTTTTTGGTATATGTTTCAATTTTCTACTGCAGCATCTTTTCTGGTAGAAAAGAACCTAGTTGATACCTTGAGGGGTTAAAAAGTAAAAATGTGCATTTGGTCTGTAAAAACCAAAACAAAATTAAAGAAACACGGACTTTTTAACTCAAAACCATCATTTTTTGACAAAATTGATTGTTTTTTTATAGTTACTAAAAACTAATAACCGTAGATACTTTAATTGTTAAGACGATGTTTATACTACCGTTTTCTATACACCATTCAATTTTCAAAATATTTTTGGCTATTTATAGGCATAAGACAATTTCTACTTTAATTAGTTTTTTTTAAATTATCGCCAGTAAAATGTTTTTGCTCTGTCCAAATAATTGAAAATGTAATACAACATTTTTGTTGGATCAAAAGTTTTTGGCAGTTTTATGCAAAATTCGTTATTAGTTGTCATAATAACAACTATATAATAACAGTAAAAAAATATTACGTATACATGGTCTATATGTAATTTTTTTTACAAGAAAACATACCGTATTATACTAATAGAATAAATAATATAAAATATCCATGTAAACCTAAACTGGAGCAGTTTAGCCTGGAGGACGTTTTTACTCAGACCTGTTTTTCTTTAAGGTATGTATAACAATATTGATCGTTTAATTTTAGCACATCCATCTCCGTGATCCATTTATACATTATAAATGTTATAATGAACTCAAAACAGCGTAGGTACCTACACTCAAAACCTACTACAACAGTACACACTGCAATGTAAGTTGTATAGGTTCTATGCATAAATTATGTAAAAAAAATAAAACACAAGCACACAGGAAATATTGTCCCCTTATTATGTTAGTGTGATTTTTTAACTATTAGGTTACCTAAATATATAGCTTTTATGTATTGCGACTGTCTGCAAGTCTGCAACCTGTTTTCAGTGTTTGGAAAAAACGTCGTTCATATTTAGTGAGCGCTACTCGAACGTCACTGGTTTTTTTTCGAAATGAACATAAACAAAACGTAAACAATGCTTATATTTTAATGCATTTGAACGATTTTTAAAACGCTCAGCTTATTTGCTATTTTATAAATATATGTTAAAATATATTGATTAATTATATTTTTTTTCTTCCTTAGAGTTTCTGATTATAACTTGACAATTACAAGAAAAATTAATTTTATCATACAATAATATTTTCTTATTATAATTTCTATTACAAAAAAATTAAATGAACGACCTAGTGAACGCATCTATTTTTTCAATCAACGTAAACGTGAACGAGTTCCTTTTTTAAGGACTGAACATGAACGAATTCATTTTTAGAGAACGTTCCAAACACTGACTATTTTTGTCAGATTGGTTTTTACAAAGAACTTATGGCTGCATCCCTAATGTGTGTATAGTATAAGTGGGTGGCATCTTCTTAGGCAATGTACTTTGTACGTATCAATATCAGTAAAAATGTACACACCAATACTATCTAGTTGGGAAATATGTTCAATTTTGTTCTTTTAAGAGGACTTCAAATGTTCAACCTTCAACATATTACATTATTACATTGGCATGTCATTATTCACACATTACACATTTAAGTTCAAAATAATCCATCTAACTACGGTACTTTTAATATTAGAGTGAATTGGTACATTGTACATTATACAATTTAAATATAAGGAATAAGAATATTATCTAGAGACCCAGTGACCCATGTAAGTTTTTTTCCGATGTATTAATTTTGATGCAAGCAATACAAATTTTAAAATTATTAATAATATGTACTATGTATGTCTATATAAAATATAAATATAATATAATTATGTATAATGTATTTACTTTATTGATTTTCTTATATTTATTAAAGGTAGAAAGTAAATATCAGTATAGGTACGATTGTAATTTAATTGTATTAATATTGGCGTTTCATAAATTTGTTGAATACAGCTGAACATTTTCAATCAGAATTAAATGCTTTGAGAGTGAAAATTCAAGACATCGAAAACAAATTGTCAAAAGAACGTAAAGGTGGTAGGTACCAACGAATGTTCAATCGGCTATCACAGGATAAAACATATTAGAGATTATAATATATTATATAATATACGTTATAATTTATAATATATTTTTATTATATTTAAAATAACTTAAGAGGACGCCACACCCGCATGTGTTGTCCCCGTCTTACAAACGCGTAACATACCAAATTTACATTCAGGAGTTCACGTTTTATGCCGTCAGCTTAAAAATTAGACTGAATCGACCTTTTATGAAACTTGAAGGTAAGAACTTTATGTGTATATGTTAGAAGTTTTTTTTACGATAATTCAGTATTTAATTGAGTTATGAGCATTTTTTATTTACATTTATTATACAAGCATACCTCACTTAAAAACTGAATTATCGTAGAAAAAACTTCCAACAAAACACACATAAAGTTCTTACCATCAAGTTTCATAATATTTCAATTTTTAAGCTAACGGCATAAAACGTGAACTCCTGAGCGTACATTTGGTATGTTACGCGTTTGTAAGACGGAGACAACGCGTCATGAGTGTGAAGCGTCCTCTTAAAGTCTTAACTAAGTACTAACGAGTCTTAAATACATTTTTTGAGTTTAGATATCGAAGACAGATTGAAAGATACTATTTCCATCAAAGACCAAGTTCCGCAGTGTACAGAATTATATAAATGTTTGCAAAATACTGTAAAGGAATTAGGAGGTGACACTGATACTGTGATAGTATAATATTTAACCTTATAAGTTATAATAATTTGGAATCCCATACGTATTTAATAATAAGCTTCTAAATAACCATCGAATTCCTTCGTTTAGATCAAAAATACATATTCGACACACAATTCAAAGGATTGACATTGAATTTGAATAACAACAATATTCGTTTGGTTGCCGTCGAAAGTATTTATAAATTATAATTGAAATTATAGATTTTATAGGTGTTTCAAACAAATTTTAAGTTATAATATCAATATGAAACTATATGTTTAGACGACGTTAAAAACATAATGATAAAATATATGGGTCTATCTCAAATGTACGAAACACTACAAGACCAACTCGAAATGGTTTCAGGGAAGATCAATGTGAAGTTTGATCACTTGGAACAAATTTTAAGGTACAATATAGCTGAGTGTTATAGAACAAATGATACTCTCGAAGACGTGTAGTGCGTCAAATCCAATAACAGTTAAGTAATAATTGTAAATATAAGTCTCGCATTGTACATTTTATATTATACAATTTATTGGACTCGTTTTTTAATAAACCTTTTATACAATATTCAAGATTTTCTTTTTCTTTTTTTTTTGTTGAGTGCTCAAGCACCACAACACAGCTATAGCCAAACGGCAAACACCCACCAGCCTATGATGTGGCCGAGGGTGATATCAGATAAGATAACAATTCATTACCAGCTATAAAATAGTAATGACTTTTATTTTGGAGAATAGCATCCATTTTATAGTTAAGTATTGGTGTACTATTCATTTTTTACTTATTTTATTCTATTTTACTGCACGTTAGTCAGTAATGTTGTCAAGTTATCATAGTTATTATTAAAATAGTAATTATTTTTGCATTTGGATATATTTTGCTAACCATTATTATTTTTTTAAAATTTATTATGTATTTTCAGATACGGTATATTTAAAAAAAACAAAACTAAAGAAGAAATTTGATGTTTTTTTTAGAACCCAAAATGTACAAAAGTAAACTCTCTAGCCTATATTGTACATGCACAGAACTATAACTAACTATAATAGAAATTAAAATTCCTAATAACTGTATGTATTAAATTAATAAAATAGTCTTTGAAATTTTTTTTATTAGTCATAACAAGAATAATTAATAAGTATAATAAAAACAAATAACACATTATATAATAATATAAAATAATAAAAATATAAACAGATAACATTAGAACTTTTATAATTAATATTGATATGAGGTAACTAAATTTCTAATGTGATATTAAAAATTTGTTTAATTTATAAGTAGTTTTAGAGATTTCATACTTCCAATAATACTTTAAGGCACATAATTACAAGTCACTGAAGACAATAATTGTTAGTAAGTATACATAATGTCTTTTGAATACATCAAACAAGCTGCCTTTTTGAGTAAGCATTAGTATACTAAGTTTTGTAAGTTTGTTAATTTGAACATTTAATAAGATTTTTGTAAAAATTATACACAACCTATCGTAAATACTGCCCTAAATAAACTTCACATTTAGGGCATTTATGTTCAACATTTAAGCATTGATCCATACAAAACGGTATTAAGCATGGACCCCAAAAACATCTGAAAAAAATTAATCAATAGAGTCATCATTAAAAACCTTGAATTATATTAAAAAAATAAAGGTTTTATTATCTCTTCCGAATTATTATTATTATACACACATTCTTCTAAAGAGAACTAATAAGAATGTGTGTATAATAATAATAATACGGATACATATTATTATTATTATAAACGTACATCAGGATCACCCGTTATCTTTTGAAATATTATAAACAAAACAAAAATACAAAAAACTGACTGTGATAATCAACGTTGTTTTTTAAAAATTAAAAAAAAAGTTAAATTAAAGTTCGCCATTTATTATGAAAATTGAAAGTTAACATTGGTAAAACAAGACTGTAATAGAATATAATGGAAATATAGAAATGATTGTGGTTAACACCAATGTGTTGTTTTCTTCTTATAAAACATAATATAACATACCAAATTTTAAGTTCCAAATAATCCATTTTATCATAATTTTTGACATTAGAATTAAAAAGTATAAGTGGGGCCTTGGATAATACTCTAAAATAATTATAAGGATATATATATATATTATATGGATGATATTCTAAAATTTTATAATAGGCCAATCCACTTTATTTTTAAAGAAACAGAATAAAATTAATTATTCTGAATATACAATTTGTATGCTGAGTGTTGGTAAGACAGGGGTAACACAATATGTAAGTATAACGTCCTTTTAAGTTAGAAAAAATAAAATAAACAAATAACTTGCATGTTAATGAGGATGTTACACAGATATTTGTTGCAGCCGTCTTACAATCGCGTAACATAAAAAATATACACTCAGTAGATAACATTAAGCTTCTTAGTTAAAAAATTAGGGTCAACAAGTTATTATGAAACAAGATGGTGAAGAAATAAAAAATCTGTGAATGGGGTTATTTTTATGATAATTCAGTTTTTAAGTAAGTTATGAGCATTTTTAATATATGCTATATTAAATACACAAAACTGCTAAAAATATTGAACTATTGTAAAAAACCCATATACAAACACAAATAATGTTCTCACCATCAAGTTACGTCATAGATTCACTCTAATTTTTAAGCTAGATAAGCTAAACATGATGTACTACTACTGAGTGTGCATTTGTTATGTTACACATTTATAAGACTAAGACAACACATGTCTTTGAAGCGTCCTCTTAAGTGCATTTTAATCTAATTAAAAATGAATACCTATTTAAAATTATAAGAATAATTAATTAATTTGTTTATTACCCAAACACACACAACAATAAACTGGATATAAAAGCCATTGAACTTGGTTTCTTATTTATTTTTGTAGTTATCTCTTTTCGGCAATTGGAGCAGACCATTCGGGTACTATGGGGACCAACAGGAACAACAGTGGTAATAAGCTCATATGGTGCTTTCACAACTAAATCAAATAAGATAAATTTCAAAATATTAAATTAAATTAATGTAATTGGATGATAGTCACTTACATTCGGGTTGTGGGGTGAAAGGACTTGCAGGTGAAACACTTGTCTGCTGATTCCATCCATATGGTGCTGTCGGAACAGTGCCTGGTGTATATGTGCTGCTCATGGTTCTATAAATATCTTGGTATCATTAACAAAATAAATGAATAACAATACCTATATTACGTGTGTACAATTTTAAAATATATCAAATACACTTCGAAACATAATACAGCTAATGGATTTCCGTTTTGGGCATTAAGGTCAAATAAAACGGGATATTAGAGCAATTTTATAGGCCAAATCTTTTTGAACACTTTCTATTATTAAAAAATCCATAAAAGCATTTAGGATTAACACAATTAAAATACTGTACCTGCACGTAATCTATAATCCAATAATTTATAACTAAAATTAGTTTTTATAGAAGTCTGAAACTTGATCGTTACATAAAAAAGTAATAACTAATTTGAGTAATTTCCATGGTAATTTCACAATTCGCATTCACAATATACACCTAATCATAATATATTATAATGATAACAATATATATTCTAGACACGTTCATGGAAACATACGCACATAATAACTATTTCTTCCAACGTTTGTATTAATTTCAAATGTACGGCACAGAATAAGTTATTCTGTGTTTACAGTTCTATAGGTACTTCTACTATATTAATTATTGTTCAGTTGTAATAGTTGTATACGGTATCACAGACAAATCTTCTCTAGTTCTCTACATCATAAATTTATATATTTTAAATACCTCTTGTCTACGAATTAGGATACATTTATTATTATTTATTTTATTAATTAATGCCAGTCGGCTTTTATAACAATTAGTTAATAAGTTGTAATAACTTAATTCGTGCTCTAATATCTACCCATCGTATGTCAAGTATTTGATATTTACGAATTTACGATAATTGTACACTTAATTTATTTAAACATAATACGAATGTAGGGGGAAACCAAACAGTTACAAACTACAAGTCTACAACTTACTTACTGACTTTAGTTGATTGTTAATACAATAAAATCCCGTAGTCCCTTACTCCCGTACATCCACTTTAACTTACAATTACCATAGTTGATATTACCAGTCATACAGACGGGATTTTCTTTTAAAAATTCACACTGTACGAACTACCAACTGGCAACTACGAGTACGTCAGTGGTGCTGTGGTAGTCAACGGTAGGCAGTAATTGCACAGAATAGATGTAATTGCACTAATTGCAGTGAAGCTATTTATTATTCGTGTAGGTACGTTAACCGTATGGTTAACACGTTTAATGTTACCGCAATAAACCAAAATATAGCATATAAACATAATATCCCACCGTCGTGGTTTAGGTGGTTATACAAACGTGGTTATTATATATTAATGGGTACTGAGTAGACAGTGACTGTATTGTGAAAAATAAATATATTGTAAAATCGTTATTCCTTGCAACCGGAAGCAATTGTTGAAACAATCAAATTAATATTTGAAAAATGTCAGAAATTTATTTAGTCTGCAATTATAAAAAATGTCGCAAGGCTTTAAACACATTTGCGTGGGTAACGAGTTGCTCACACATATTTTGCGACTACGATGGTAGTCGGACATTTAATCGTGAAAAAAAATGTCCTTGCTGTAATGAAGTCCTTAATAGACGATTGGACATTGTTCAGATAAACTTAAATCCAGATGAATCTTTTAAATCTGTATGTATTCTAATTATTGAGTACCTTATACAGTTGTACTCACGAATTACCCACTTCCTTATTTTAAAATTTGTAAATTTAGGCTTTCTTATTCTTTTTTATTTTTAAATTCTAGATGATATTATGTGGTTTAAGACCAGAAGTTGTAATGGACATATCATTACGAGCAGTGTCTTTTTGGAATTACCAAATGACCCAAGAAAAAATCATTCAGACTAGTAGTATGAAAAGGCTTCAAGCAAAATTTGAACAGGTTAAAATCAATATAGAAACCATGGAGTACCAGTTTCAAAAACATATTTTAATTGAAACAAAAAAATCTGAGTGCAAGTATACATTTAGGAATACATGACTACAAATATAATATATAGGTATGCAATTGCCTATTTATAACTAGTGTACAATTACATTTATAGCAGCTTTGAAAGATGCTGAATTACAAAGACGAAAAACTCAAGAGATAGAAGAGAAGCTTATAGAAAAGAGTAGAATCTTACATCAAGTTCAGGTGATAATAAAATAAAATTAACAGAATATATTATTAATTATTATGCATATAAGGATTTAACATCTATACTTATCTACTATCTATACCAAATTCTTATAAGCAATATGCAATAGAAATCGTAAACATATGTTTAGTCATAGATGCCAAGATTTAAAAAAATCATTGGGTGCTCCAAGTCAAAACCCCTTCCCCTTATCAAAAAATAACATGTAAAAGATTTAACCATCCATTCTTAATAATTTGGATTATACCACCATGATAATTTAAATTGATTTAGAATATCAAAATTAAAGGTTAGCGTCTGATAATTAGTTAATCTAATGTACCTAACAAAAAACCCTAAAAACTATTCAGATATATTAGTACATTTTTTAAACTAGTAAATTAGGCAACAGGTATATCGCCCATTGAAAATATTTTGTCACATAGTTAATTGTATTTTGAAAGACTAGGCTACACAATTTTTATGCTACCTGTAAAAAAAATAATGAAGTAATGATCTTCCTTGAAATCACCACTTATTTTAAATAAATTATAACTCATCTTCATTAACTTTTACTATTCCACTTTCTAGCATTAATATTTATTTTTAATAACTATGATTGGCGAGCATAAAAATAATTCTGTGGCATTATTTTGGAGGGCAAAGGTATCATTTTGCCCCCACCAAGATGATCCAAGAACACAAATCTTTGTATCTTCTTAAGTTAAGAAAGAATGCATTATAATTTAAATGTGTGAATAATATGTATACTAGTTACTTTTTTAAACTACTTTTAGCACGTTTATATTGTTGATATGTATTGATATGAAATCTTATGTAGGTTCTTAATACCATTTAACAAAATGGGTACCCAGCTACCAACAATTTTTTCTATACCATAAAATGAGTTTTAATAAACTTATGGAGGTAGATCAGGGTTTTGATTATGGTAAATAAATTATTTTCCTGCTTAGCCTAGATTTTTATCCAGTTACATCACTGCTATAATTTAATATTTATTTTGAGAATATGTTTTACTGTCACCCAGTGAAAATTCCTTAGATTCCTCAGCATTCTAAACTAGTTTCAATGGGTGCTCAGGCACCCAGGCAACTGTCTACATGGTGGCTATGTATGTAGTTATAGACTTATAGTGGCATAAATTACTAAAAAGCATAAAAATATGAACATAAGTATTGTTTTACATTCTAAGATTAAGTTAACCTTACTTGGCTTAATTATAATTTGTATTATATATTACAAGTTTTGGTTGCCAGTGAATTGCCCTTATAGTATAGTATATATTATTCATTGCATATTGTGTACATTTTATAATGCCATATATTTTCCAAAACTGCATAAAAAATAATTTTACATTGGTATTTAGTATTTCAATTTTATTTATTTTTCAATAAAATATAAATAAACAATGTTGAAGAAGCAATTTTAATACAAAATCAATATTAAATATCAGTTTATTATAGAATCATTTTTTAAATTTTAGTCCAAGTACGAGTCTCTAAAACTTCAACTTATTTCCAATACAATAAAATCAACAAAAACAGAACAAATTCCCATGGCTCAACTTCAGCCTAAAACATTTGAAGGTCAAAATGGTCAGTGCACCTATTACATTATTTTTTTTCTTTAAATTTAATAAATATTTATTTTGTTTTACAGAATTTGTATTTGCTCCAAATGTTGATTAAGTCATAAGAATTAAGTTATACTAAGCTAGAAAAAAATACAAAACAAGTTGTTAACACTACTTACACATAGCAACAATTTTTATTTTAAATCAATTATTTCTAAAGGTTTTATATTTAATTCTTTTTGTAGTTCTTCTATTGGTTGTTCCCATCTTTTTTCGAAATACATGTTTAGCATAAAATTACTGTTTAGTCCAGTTTGAATAGCCCATGGTAAATAATGTCTTACATACTGTTCTCTTTGCCTAAAATAATGTAAGTAGGTATTAAATTGAAAACTAGAGTAGATCTAAATTAAGTTTATAAATGTTTACTTTGGTTTAAGTCGTACAGCTCCAAAAAGACCTCCAGTCAAAGTCATTGGTAACTTGGTCTGAAATGCTTCAATCCACTTTACTGTTACTTCTCCTAAATATTATTAATATTTATATATATAAATATTTAATAAATAAGAAAAAAACAATACCTAACATATTTGTAGGCATTCCCAATACAGTGTGAAATAAATCATGTACTTCTCTGTATCTCTGCATCACATATGCCAATTGAATGTCATCAATGAATTGTACTGATCCTCGAGAGTCTGGAGTTACTTTCTAGACAATAATGAAACATTTTTTTATTAGCATTTCATTGATATAATCTTAAAAGCTTAAAAAAAATTTTAACTTACATTATGATCTAAAAATTTAAAGTAAGCATATCCGAGAGTATTTTCTGGCATATATTTTAACTTTCCAAGATCAACTGTTGATGTGTTAATTCGTGGTTGTAACCTTCAAAAAAGTATTTCATACAATTATAACCAATAAGACATGGAATAGAAATATCTGGATAATTTTAAGCATTTTATACTATATACTATATACTGTAATATTTCGTTGCCTTCGGGATTATTAATCATTTTATCTCTAATATATTTCAATGCATGTGTTCCAGTAGTTTCTCCCATAGTGGCAATCATATCTAAAATACAATATAGTTTTCAAAAATACCAATAATATATATTATAAAAAATAGTAGTTTTCCAATTGTAAGTGTTATTACCTGCTCTTCGAGGATCAAGCAATGAAACAGTTGCAGAACCGATTGATAATAATAGCTTTTGGAGCGGTGTGGTGGGTATATGATTTTCATTATATTGAGTTACAAAATCAGACATCTGTCGGTGCATTTGATTATTTAAAATAATATTTTTTTTCAACATTTTGAATTTCAATAAGTACTGTAATTTAAAAAAAATATATAATATTGATTATAGTCCTTTGCAATTACAATATAATTATTTTAATTTAAAAGATTAGTTTTCTTACTGTTCAATTTAAATTTCTTGCACTAAAATGAACCAATTGTATTGATTTCTATTCAATATGATAATATATTGATATTAATTATCACGATTAACGTTATTTTAATTGAATATTGACAGCTTAGAGTTAGCCAACAGTATTATTAATTATTATTATCTTATCTGTATTCTGCCATTTTGTTCGATGCACGAAGTCGTAGACTTAAGGTCAGCGTAGTGAATATTTAAGTTAAATCGTAGTATTTTAATCACAATGCAGGTACTAAAAGTAGTACCGTAATATATTATGAGTGAAAAATAAAAATATGAAATTAAACCTGCTAGTTTTAGTTGTGCTATACACTGTCTAGGTACAAGACTATAATCTACTACCTGATAAAGTAACAAAATAAATTAATATATAAAATATATTTTATCATGATCTAGTATATTATATCGCGGCATGTAAGATTCTATCAGGAAAGTTTAATTGACTGAAGCTGAACCACAGAATAACTGAACCAGTGGAACCACAGACTATTGGTGATAGAAAGCTTATCAATTTGTATGCCGGCGGGGAGTGGTTTGTAATTTGACTCGTGGAAAAATAACATTATACAAAGCGGCCCCGTAACGGCCTACACTTTTTATTGCCAATATGAAAATAGTCTCATACAAGGGTAACTGGGTAAGTCTAGAGAGCTTTCTAGGTAAGTGTAATTGACTGAACTGAAAGCTTTCTATCGCCAATAGTCTGTGGTTCAGTCAATTAGACTTTCCCTGTTTACACCTTCATATAACCACCTTGACCATTAATTTTATTCTGTGATAATACATTGTATTAACTATGGTTGACCTTGACACTGATAAAAATGTACATTGGCCCAAGGTGGATTGATACATCTTGCGGTTACCACGATTAAAGATATATTTATGAATTAATTTATCTTAAAAGACCTTATACTACTAGACTAGACAAGCAATGATTGTATGGAAAGCGGCAAAGCAGCGTCTGAAGAAGTTTCATATCAAAAAAGTTCAGCTTAGGTATACTTGTATGAACACCTTTTGTGAGTGTCTTAACGAAATTGGGTTAAGGAATAAAGTCAATAAAGATTTATCTTCATACGATTTTTGTTTTTTAATTGTAGGTAATTCTAAAAGTATTACTATTAGAAACTTGAAACATGTTATTTTGATTATTACGTATCATTCTCTAGACTATGAAATTTTCAAAATATTTAGACTAGATTTATGGTTAGCCTATCTTGTCATTAGACATTTAAATTTTTTTTTATAAATAGAAAATTGTATGCTTAGTTAAAAAACTTGAATAAAGCTGATACAAGTTTCCTCATACATTTTCTTATTGCTTAATGAATATTGAAAATGCATAAGAACATTTTCAAATTTTAAGTAAAATTGAATATTGAAGCAAAATACAACAATTTTAGGTAGGTACCTCTTCATTTATTAACGACCTAATTTTTAGTTGGTATTAAAAAAATATTGTTTGTAGGGACTTTAAACGTTTAGCCATCATGTAGATTATTCATTATACACAATGAAATTTTAAAAATTGTTCTTCAATATGTCGCCAGTTCGCCACTCCAATGACTATCGTATATTTTCACAGATATATTAAATTATTATATTATTATTATATTGTTTTATATATCTGTGTATATTTTAGATATTATCTTATCTATTATTATGGTAATTGATAACAATGATAAAATATGTCAAAATGACGTCATGGACAGTAAGACATTTTTCCTGTTACGATCCATTCATGACCTCATCCACATTTTTGTTTAGATCCATACCGATTTGTTGATATTATCAACGAGTTGTTATCGTCTTAATATAATTGGTTAAAAATTATTGTTTACTTCTTCTTTCAAATTCTATATAATAGTACCATATACATGCAATAATATGTGTTATACTGTTATTAATTAATAACAATAAATATTAATTGTAGGCATTACATTTTGGTCCAATACATTTGGTAGTAAATACTATATATTTGAATCTTATATGTGTTACGGTTGAGTTAAAATTAAAATTTGTAACTATTCATTAATGCAACGATTAAAATTTATTTTCACTTGACATGAAATGTTTATATATTGTATTTTGATCATAGTGTGAACAACTATTCTATCTGAAACTTAAAATGTCTGACAATTCAGAAGATCAAGTAAGTCAAGTGACCCACATCAGTATAAATAATTTTAAATATTATGTTAAATTGATGTCAGTCAGATAAATATTATTGTAAATAAACACTCATTATACTCAATTAGTAGGTAATTATTTTGTTCGACTTGATACACAATAGAACTACAGTGCACTAATGTAATGCATATTTATCACAACATAATATAATAATCATATTTCATCCAAGCTATTCAGTGTCAGCTCGTTGGTTTTTAATGAAGTAGTGCACACCCTAAAAAATGTAACCAATATTATGCAATATGCATAATGTATAATATACTTAATAGGTTGTATTAAATGATTGTTAATGGACATTATCAACTAATAATCAGAGTATAACAGTGTGTAAATGGAGTAAAAATAAATTATAATGCTGAAGTGCGGCGAAGATGTCAAAAATAATTCGCTGAAAACGAATTGATTGATGATGTGCACATCAATTCCATTGTAATGTGAATTGCATGTTTTGACTTGTTTTAATTTTTTCATTGTATAAATGTGCACAGCGATTGTGTGCTCTACTGCATAAGTCTGCCCTACTATACATACAGATACTGTTCTGCCGCGGATAATCGCCTGGTCGTTTCTTTTATTTTGAATTTTTATATTTTTAAACATAATAACCCTACAGGTACTTAGTTGTATTATTATGATTTATGTTTTCAATTTTTCTTGAGTTTGGGTAGGTTTTGCAAATAGACACGTACCGCCACTGAATCTATTATATGCTCAGACAAATTTGAGTTTACAATTCTTATGATTTTAATTTTATAAACAATTGTATTAACATAATTTGAAAATAAATCGATTAAGTGCATTTAGTATTTGGTATACGTAACCAGTGCTATATGCCTATATATCTATATAGTTAATGAATATTAAGCAAAAGTACCTACTTCATAAATGAGAGTAATAAAAATATATTTACTAATATAATTAACTATTATACCAATCAACAATTGTTATTTTATTTAACAACATTTATTCTCAAGTTTAAACTGTTGTAGAACCCTAGAGATGCTGGCAACATGTGTTTGGAATTGGCTCTGGAAGGTGAAAGACTGTGCAAAGCTGGAGACTGTCGTTCAGGGGTAGCATTCTTCCAAGCTGCTGTTCAAGCAGGAACTAATGACTTACGTACTCTTAGTGCCATATACAGTCAATTAGGCAATGCTTATTTTTATTTAGCAGATTATCCAAAAGCATTGCACTTTCATAAGCTTGATTTGGCTTTAGCAAGGTTTTTATATTTTATATTTATTTACTAGTCTTAATGAAAATAGTAAAAATACTTTCCTTATTGTTAGATTTGTTGTCAATTTGTATTAATATATTAAAATATTACAATAAAACTGTTTTAAAATACTTGTTTTTAAATACTTTATTTAGAACACTAGGGGATAAACCAGGTGAAGCCAAATCTAGTGGAAACTTGGGAAATACTTTGAAAGTAATGGGCAATTTTGATGAAGCTATGATTTGTTGTAAACGTCATTTAGAAATTGCAAGAGAATTGGGAGATAAAGTCAGTATCACTTTTATGCATTCATCTGATTAATTTTTTTTTGTTAAATTATAAAATGGTTTTAATTATTTTAATAGTTAAGTGAAGGACGAGCCTTATACAATTTGGGGAATGTGTATCATGCTAAGGGCAAACATATAGGAAGAGTAGGTCAGCAAGATCCAGGGGAGTTTCCGGAAGAAGTAAAAGTTTGCATTGAACAAGCTGTTAAATATTATGAGTAAGTAGTATTTTTATATCATATTAGTTACTATCGGTAATTATAACTACCTTTACAATTTACTGGTTAACATGTTTATCTTATTACGACCAACATTGGTTAAAACTGTATTATATACAGGGTAAGCTTTGGGAAAAGGGCTAAAAATAGAATTATGTCTATATATTTTTGGCCTATTTCCCTCGATCTATCCTGTATATTACTTAAAGGCAATTTTGTAATCTACAAGACAAAATAATTGAAGTAGATCTGCCCAACTAAACTTGAAGTGTAGAGCATAAAGCCAGTAAAGCTAATTTTCATCTAAAATAATCTAGGATTTACCATGATACATAAAAATTGTTGTGACTTTTTTTGCATAGAGTATTGAGTAAAATAGTATTTCACTAAAAAAGCAAGCGTAATATTAAGAAACAGATTTTTTGAAATGTTCAATCCTATAAGAAAAACAGAATTAGGTATCTATGCATGTTAAAGGGAATTTATTTGTTAGCATATAATTTACACTTTAAGTTTTGTTGGCTAGAACTGTTTACTGTATAATTTTGTCTTGTAGATCACCTAAATTGTCTTAAAATAATATAACTCAAGGTTAACCCCCTGTGGTTATTCCAATAACAGAATTATGTTTATGGAAAATCTTAGAGGAAGTCGCAATAGCCAATAGTTCCTTATTTTGTTTTTATATTGTATCTAATCTTTTATTAAAAGAGTAAAAGCTTATTGGTAATAAATAATATATATGAATATTACTATGAAAATTTTTGCAGAGAAAATTTAAAGTTAATGAAAGAGCTCAATGATCGTGCAGCTGTTGGTCGAGCTTGTGGTAATTTAGGAAATACCTACTATCTGTTAGGTAATTTTAAAGAAGCCATTCAATATCATGAAGAGGTAATGTTTTTTGAAGGTTATTAAACATAATATGCTAATATCACAATCTAAATTTTATTTATGTTTAGCGATTGAAAATTGCTAGAGAATTTGGTGACAAATCAGCTGAGCGCAGAGCAAATAGCAATTTAGGAAATTCTCATGTTTTTCTTGGTGAATTTGAAGAAGCAGCAGATCATTATAAGTAAAATTAAAAAATTAACCTACTAAAATAATCAAAAATTAGATAAATAGTAATTTTACTATTAAATTAGGAGAACATTGATCCTTGCTCAAGAATTGGAAGATCGAGCAGTTGAAGCACAAGCTTGTTATAGTCTTGGAAATACTTATACATTATTGAGAGATTATAACACGGCAGTCGATTACCATTTAAGACATTTAGACATAGCACAAAAATTACATGATAGGATTGGCGAAGGTAAAGCATTTTTAACAATGTTTGTAAAATAAGTATCCTATCTTTTTTTAAACTGCAAATTGTTGGAATCTCTTGGATGCATTACTTAATTGTTCTAACAATCACTTATACAAAATAAGCTTGAATTTTGCCTTGACTACACGGTAAAGGAATTTTTGGCCATGGCCGATCTTTAGAAACAAAAACTGACGGCAAATACTGGTTTATTTAAGGGTATGACCAATACTTGGTTGCCACCTAAGTTACTCTAATATACAAGACAGAGTATAGTTAAATGAATTTTAATTTATTTCAATGTTAATTTTAATTAAACTGAATAATGTAATAAAAATGTGTTTAGGTAATTGTATAAATTAAATATTGAATTCATTTTTATCTCAATTATAGGAAGAGCTTGCTGGAGTTTAGGAAATGTAAATCTGGCTTTAGGAAATCATGAAAAAGCATTATATTTTGCTTCTAAACACTTGGAAATATCAAAAGAAGTAAATACTAATAACTTGATTGTACAAGTTACAATTGTATAACAATTTTTTTATTTCTATTTAGATTGGTGATACAGTTGGTCAGGCAACTGCACAGATAAATATAGTTGATATTAAAAAATCTTTGGGTATGTCAAATGGACAACTTTCACCAGACAGTAAAGAATTGTTGGATACCATCTCTAACACACAGCCTTCACCTCAACTACGACGTTATCGGGTGAGACGTCAAAGCATGGAACAGCTTGATTTACTTAAGGTAGCGTGTGCATGTTTATGTGTGTCTAGTTTTTGTTTGTCATTGTATTTCATGTAAACATAATGCATTAATTACATTTTTATGGTGTTCAGTTAAAACATTTTGGCATACAATGATGTTATATCAAGTAAACAAGTAGTTTAAAGCTTGCGAATACAAATGCTTTTATTTTAAGTTTGGTCAATAACTAAAAATTTGATTTAAAATATTATTTATTAATAATTCTAGTTGACTCCAGACAACAAAGGTAAAGTACCCAGCTCCAACGACAAGATTTATCAGTCTACATCAACTGTTTCCAAAAAGGTATAACATGATGTATTTTTTCATTTATCATGTTTATTCATATCTGTTTTATTGTTTTAAATAGTCTGAAAAAACTGAAGATGATCCATTTTTTGATTTGTTGTCACGATTCCAAGCTGGGCGAATGGATGATCAACGTTGTACTCTTGGTTCCTCAAGAAATTTAGAAGATAAAGAAAATCAAAATGCGAACAAACTAATTTCCCAAATTGGTCAGTATTTTATCAATTTACTTTTAACTGAATACTTTACATACTCATAATTCACTTAAAAATAAAAATACTGTTCAAAACCAACGAGAAAACACAGATAATATTCTTACTTTTAAGTTTTGAATTTTATATTAATATTTAAGCTAACAACACAAAATTGGAATTTCTGAATGTTAAATTTGGTATATTATGCATTGATAAGACGGAGACGCACGTGCGTGTTACAAGTGTCCTATTAATAGTTGCTTTTTAAATTTCACTAAAAAATGTTCAAACATATGGTCAGATTGACCGATCACCGTTCTGGTAGCTTACAATATTATTACTATGCATTTTAATCTTTCTGACTATAGGTACTTTATTTTGTGTCCAAGTTCCAATTACTGGGTTTTTGAAAGTTTGTTTCAATATTATACACTCTATTGCCTCTGTTTCAGCCAAATAGTTATTACGTTTTGTAAGTTAAATGGAACTCTCTGTATTCAGGTGTAAGTTATAATACAAACAGAGATAATTTCTGAATATGATATATTATGCATAATTATTGAGTACCAACTATTTTATTACATTAGTTTAATTATTTTAATTGATATTTAGTCTCATTAAAATTAAATGTGTTAATTGTTAAGTGCAAAATTCAATTTAGTCGTCCTATAATTATATCATTCATAATTATTTTATTAGGCGGACATGTTGAAAGTCAAGATGACTTGTTGGACATGATAGCAGGTATGCAGAGTAAGCGAATGGATGAACAAAGAGTAGAATTGGACCAACTTCCTGGTATTGCAAAACCAGATAGTGAACCTGATGATAACTTCTTAGAACTTCTTATGCGATGTCAAGGGGAACGACTGGAAGATCAACGCAGTGAGTTACCTGTGTCCAACATTAGCAGTGATGGAGAGTCACAACGTACACCAAACCGAGGACCAACTGTACCCGATGAAGACTTTTTTACATTAATTATGCGCCTTCAATCGGGTCGTATGGAAGACCAACGAGCAAGTGTTCCAATGCCAAAACGAAATTAAAGTATGTTAAGTTATTAAGTATTAACAATCAGGTTATGTATATTATAAAAATATTTTTTTGTCTTCATTTTGGATTTTTTTTTAACTTTATGAAAATCATAATTGTATAATTATATTTCTCTGGTATTGCTATATTCTGTATTGTATGCTAATTTATAAAAATGTCCACCATATGTTTCTAGTATTAAAATTATCTTTTTTATTGACTATCTGACTATCTATTATATTTATACAAATAATTAATTTTATAGATGAGCTACTATTATTTGTTGTATTATTATTTTAATAATATAGTTTTATCATTCTTAGATTACGCTTTTACTATGAGCATTTTTCATATATTATAGTTAATTTTAGAATTGGAAATTAGCATTAATATTCTAATAGTATTATACATTTTATATTTAACTAATTCTATGCCATATTAATTTAAATAAGACATAATATAAAATAATTAGATTAGATAATACAAATGTTTAATACATTTTTTTTTTAAATATATATAATCTGCAAAACAAAATATTATTATAATAGTTAATACATAAGTTAAGCATAATAAAGTTTAGTTTTTTAAAATTCTATCTATTGTTCTTAATTTGACCATAATAAAATATAAATTGTGAAACAAATAGTTGATGAAAAGTACCTCATATTATGTTTAGCATGTATATTTTGACTGGGATACATAAGTTAATAGTATTTATTTAATAATTGATCTTAATGCATGTGAATATTTTGCATACCACATGTATCCTGTTGCAATTGCTAAACCATACCTGTAATAATTAATAATACAATTTATTTTGTTACACATACATATAAAAAATTATAAGTTTTAATATTTTAATATCTGCAATATTTATATGATCTATACTCTGATTCAAAATAGAATGCAAGGAGCAAGTGAATCACTGTAATACATGTCTTAAATCTGAATACAATAATATATCCTTGTACACAAAAAATTATTCTGAGAAACAGATGGTCTGTCAGCCTATGTTTTTTTTAATATTACTATTATGAACCCCCAAAAAACCTAAATTAATTTGATAAATTATACAAAAACTGGGATTCAATCCAAATTAGAATAAATAATTAAGATGGATTTAAAAATGTGAAATAATATGAATTGCCTTACCAAGTAATAATGTAAGAAACATGTTCGTTTCTCAATGAAATATTTGTTTGACCGCCAATGGGACCTCCAGGAATACTACATTCAACCACAGCATCAATCATAATAGGTTCACTATCAACTAATTTTGACATTGCCTCTAAATCTCTACAACAACAGACAACATTCAATACATTTAGTTCAATGAACTAATCTTTTTTAAATACTTTAAGCATATTAAACCAACTAAATTTAAATATATAAATAATATACCTATATGCCCAAAAACGAGAGTCTGCTACATTCTTTGATACAAATTGAGGTCTAGGTTCAGTTAACCGTACGACACCTTCTAATTCAATTTCACCAGCAACTTGGCCAGAAATTCGGGATGCAGGGTTTTTATTTTTCATAGAAACCCAACCACGGTTAACTAAAATTGAGAAACTTAAAACAATTACTATTAGTAATAGAAGTAGAACAAAATGAATGAAAACATTTCTTACGGTTTATTTGACAGTTTAAAGGGTGTGATGACATAATAACCACTTTTTGTAGATCCAGAAAACAATCCATTGGTATTCTCTGCTCCACCATCAGTTAAACAGGATCTAGGACCTAAGTACAACTCCTTTGAATGATCAAATTCACCTACTACTTTTATTCTACGATATTCAAGGTTTTTAAGTTCTTCATCACTGTAAAAATTATGAAACTATTTATGATATTTAACTATAATCAAATAGGAAAAGATTCTAACTTTTCAGGAAAGTCCAATGCAGGAAATTTAGTTTTAGTTTTGAGTTCTTCAATCAGACTTTCTTTCCATATTTTTCGTCTGACTTGCCATGTACCCAGTCCAAATGCAGAAATTGGTAGCACCTTATATACAAAGCATATTTTTAATTTAATACAAATAAATTATAAGTAAAAAGATTTAACCTTACTAGTAAAATCCATCCAATATCTGTGTTACTCTTTTTCCTTCGACTAAATGAATTTAATTCAACTGATTTAGCTGTCATACTAGAATTTCTGGTCATACAAATTAGCTAAACAATTAAAACAGATCAAATATATGATCATAATTTATAAAACATTACCTACATAGTTTTAATAAATGCTGAGAAGATGCTCTAGGGCAGTGTTATATTATTACTTATTATTTACAATTTTATTACATTGACAGATAATTGAATTATTAACAGTTTAAGTTTAAATATACCATATAGTGAGCCTGTAGAATTGTGGGTAACTGTCAACCTCAAATATTTGTAAGAAAAGTAGTATAACGTTTCAGCTAGAGTCAAGATTTAAGGATACTTATAATATCTAATTTTATAATTTAAATACATTTAATTTTATTATTTTTAATTAGTGAAAGAATTCAAGCAAGCAAAACACATTGAACAAGTCAATTCCAATTTCAAATTTATTCTATGATGCTGAAAAAATTTAGAGTCTAAAAAAAATCTTAAAAATTGAAAAATTAAAAAATCTATGTACAATTTACATATGTTTATGAATTAGTTCTTAGAGGAGACGTTAACAAAAAATGAAAAGTTTTATTATAACACTGACCATATTGTAGTGCATTTAATAACAAAGTACACGATACCAAGTGGTGTCATTCAGCATATTATGTAAACCATGTCAAATAAAGCCATTTAGCATCATCCGCAGTGAACATGCTAATTTATTGAGAGAAATTATAAAACCAATCTGATTTTACAACAATTGTTTTTTTTAATTATTATTTTATATTGCACAATAGGTAGTAATTTCTCATTTTCAATCATATTTTAAAAAATGAACATGAACATTTTTTTTTTAAATTTACTCATACTGTTAAATAAATATTTAGCCTGAAATATTGTAAAGCTACTCATAATAATAGGTTAAAGAATAGCTGTCAACAAAAAACATCAACTTACATATAGTTTAGACGGATTAAAATTCTGTTTCACTAAGCAATTTGAAAAATATTTTCTACAAATCATGCTGAGCTCTGATAACTTCCAAATTATTGAGTACTAATATATATATATAAATGGATACTAAAGACTGCAGTTGAGAATTAAGGAGAACAAATTACAAAATTAAAATGATCTAATTCTAATATAGCTAATGAAATGGTAATAATTTAATAATAACATAGACAATAATGATAATAATTAATATATGTTTTGATTTGTTACTATCTTTTTTATTTATGATTATTATTATTGTTGTTTTGTGTTATCAGTGAAGTTAGTATCAATCATGGCTATAGACAGAATTGGGGTACTTATCCCGAAATGTCATGGGCAAATAATATGCAACAAATATGCACATGTATATATGTAATCGTACAAGCTACTCAATTTATAAAGGGCCATTGTTCAAAATAATACATACATTTTGCAAAAAAAAACAAAATTCATTACTAATCCTTATATTGTACTGGTTTAAGTAGCAACCTAAGCGATGGCAGGGCAGGCTGTGGCCGTTTAATCGTGAGACTCTTTTAGTCTTTTCGAGACGTTATCAAATTAAGGTGGAACTTGGTCACCAATACAAATTTAATAATATTATAATTTATAACATTATTTAATAATATATATGGTCTCCACCGAGTACCGATAGACCCTATTACAGTATCGTAATAATGTAAGAGTCTAAGACCGTGGGATAGACCCAAGGTGGATAGATCCATGAATATTAGAGATAAAACATCGAGATACCTATGATACCATGAGATACCTATATAGTATATTAAATACACATATCTTAAATCCTGCACCAGAATAAAATAATGGTATCATATCAAAGCATGGTGCCCTGGTGAGATCAATTTTTTTCAAAATTTCAACTGCCTGTAACTTTCAAATTTTAATCTTCAGTTCTTCACTCTTCAGTGTTCTATTGCATAATACAAGCTATACACTTTTTGGTGTTTTTCTGTTGAATACTTTAAATTATTTATCGTTTGTAAATATTAATTAATTAATTAACAGTCATTAAAGTAAACAGTAAATAATGGAAGTAGATGAAGAAGGTAATAACTGCATAAGCCATTCTTCTCTCAATTTTATTTTCCAAAATTAATTCGTATTCATTATGCTATAATTTTCTTGTGAAACTAAAAAAATTAAGTGTTCTGCTTAAGAAGTATTTTAATTCTTCTTTTTCAATATTTTCTTATAACTAATATTTGTCTAGGTATTTAAAACCAGATTTTAAACTACAACATAATACATCTACATATTATTTGAACGTCATTTTAACATAGTATTAGAGCATATAATTATGTATTTTTAACACTTCTCAACTTTAGATAAACTATCAAAAATTGAACAAGAATTAAAGGAAATTAACATTAAAGTTATCAAACTTCAAAAGCGTAAAACTGAATTATTAGAACAAAAAGAAAAATTGAAGCAGTTATCTTATCAAAAACAAACTAACTCTATTAGTGACCAGAATAAATGGACCCACACAGGTATTAGAAATTTAGCATAACAAAATACCAATGATATATTAATATGAATTATGTTATAATTTCTTTATAATTAAATAATTTTATTCTTTGTAGATTTTCCTTGGCATCGAAGAGTACAAGATACCTTAAAAACTGTTTTTAAGTTGGACGTTTTTCGTTCACAGCAGTTAGCAGCTATTAATATTACATTATCAAAACATGATGCCATACTTATTATGCCAACTGGCGGAGGGAAATCTCTTTGCTATCAGTTACCTGCTCTTATAGATCAAGGTACCTATTAAACTATTAAAATTTATATAATTGCATTTTGTGAGTTGTTTTCAGAGTCTCTGGATTGTTTTTATAAAGTAACTCAGTATATCTATAAAAATATTATTTATTTTGTACAAAAAAATGTTGATGTTTATGCTTCACATTAAATGATATAATTAATTTTTATAGTTTATAATATATTGTTTTTTACTTATCCAAAATGATTTCTATAAAGTTATTGTTTTACAAGGTTTTACTCTTGTGGTCTCTCCTATGGTATCACTTATGGAAGATCAGATAATTCAAATGCAAAAACTTGATGTTAATGCTAAAATGATAAGTTCTTATTCGTCAAAAGAAGATGTAAAATCATTATTTCAGGTATTAATATAATTATTATATATTGGTATTTCATATTCTAAGTGGAACAATTCATGTATTGATTTTCTAATGATGTTAGTGTAATAATGTGTTTTTTCTTCTATCATCATCTTTTGGAACAGTAAAAAAAAATGCTTCAATAGACATTTTGGTGGCTAAGA